CGAGATTAAAATAAACAGCAAAACTGTTCTTGCTCATATCAGGGTTCTCTCAAAACATTATTTCAGGAATACCTGTACTTGTTCTCACTGGAGTAGAATCACCAACCTTACATGAATATGATAGCTGTAAAAGCTTTTCTATTCCAAGCACTTGATAGAAAACAGGACCCATGCAAAAACTTTCAAAATTCACAGATGAAAATAATGCAGTAAAAATAATGCTTGAATTATGGGTCTTGGTCAATGACCAACAATCATATTTGAAAAGACATTGGTTAAGTTTAAAGTGGGGTGCTTGCAGTTACTTGGCCACAAGACTTTATCTGCCAACAGTAGCTCTCACTAGAAGTAAAACCCTCCTTTATGAGAAAAAGGTATTGAATCAATAAACAAGAGGGCCATGATGGCCCTGAAGTCGCTCACCTGTATATAGGCCCCCGGAGCGGGGCCAGTTTAAATCCCAGGGCTTTTATTTGAACAAACTTGGTAGACACGCATTAGAAGATGTTTCATGCTAAACATCTAAGGTCTAGCTGGTCAAGTTTTTTCTTTACACATATAGTTAAAAACAATGACACACCTGAGGCAGTGCCAGTTTTGACCCAAGGGCTTTTATCTGAACAATCTTTGTAGACACTCACTAGAAGATGCTTCATGCTTAATATCTAAACTCTAGCTATTCGGGTTTTTTCAAAGAAGATTTTTAAGTTTTTGCTATACACATATAAGGAATATCAATGTCCCCCGGGGCGGGGCCAATTTTGACCCCAGGGCTTTCATTTGATCAAACTTTGTAGACACTCACTAGAAGATGCTTCATGCTTAATATCTAAACTCTAGCTATTTGAGTTTTTTCAAAGAAGATTTTTTAAGTTTTTGTTATACACATATAAGGAAAATAAATGACCCCCGAGGCAGGGCCAATTTTGACCCCAGGGCTCTTATAAGAACAAACTTGGTAGACACTCACTAGAAAATGTTTCATGCTAAGTATCTAAACTCTAGCTATTTGGTTTTTTTTCAAAGAAGATTTTTTAAGTTTTTATTATACACATATAAGGAAAATAAATGACCCCGAGGCAGGGCCAATTTTGACCCCAGGGCTTTTATTTGAACATACTTTGAAGACACTAACTAGAAGATATTTTATGCTTAGTATCTAAACTCTAGCTATTTGTTTTTTTTTTTTTTTTTCAAAGAAGATTTTTTAAGTTTTTGCTCTACACATATAAGGAAAATCAATGACCCCTGGGCGGGGCCAATTTTGACCCAGGGCTCTTATTTGAACAAACTTTGTACACATCCATTTGAACATGTTTCATGATAAATATCTTAGCTGTAGCTCTTTGGGTTCTTTAAAAGAAGATTTTTTAAGTTTTTACTATATGCATATAGTGAAAATCAATGACCCCCTGGGGCAGGGCCAATTTTGACCCCTGGGCTTTTATTTGAACAAACTTCGTAGACACCCATTAGAAGATGTTTCTTGCTAAATATCTAAGCTCTAGCTCTTTGGGTTCTTTAAAAGAAGATTTTTTAAGTTTTTACTTTATGCATATTGGGAAAATCAATGACCCCCTGGGGCGGGGCCAATTTTGACCCCAGGGCTTTTATTTCAACAAACTTGGTAGACACTCACTAGAAGATGTTTCATGCCAAATATCTAAGCTCTAGCTCTTTAGGTTTTTTAGAAGAAGATATTTAAAGTTTTTTTCTTTTGGTTGCCATGGCAACCAGAGTTCTGCATGGAATTAAATTCTTTGAACAATTTTCAAAGGTGACCACCAAAGGAACATTCCTGTGAAGTTTGGATGAAATTGGCTTCGTGGTTTATGAGAAGATGTCATTTAAAGTAAAAGTTTACGGACGACGGAAAGCGATCACAAAAGCTCACCCTGTCACTTTGTGACAGGTGAGCTAATAATACTGAATTTAAAGGGAGACACAGGCAAAATTTTCCTTTCTTTATTTTGAATTTTTCATTCATAATTTTGTGAATGTCCTCAAAATGAATACACTAGACAGTCAAAGGAACAAAACTTTTCTCCATATAAAGAATGAAATGGTCGTTTCCTAACTTGACCCGCGTGAGTTCAAGTCACATCACTTGTTTTATTATTTAAAAGTACTCATTGATTTTGTTGGCCTTTAAATTTCGTTCAATATAGATATATTTATGCTTCAATCCCAAAATATATAGAATTTATACAGAAATTCATGCTGGGACTTAAAATGTAATTTTAGCGTGATTTGAGTACATAAAATCACTTTAATATTTTTGTCATTATTTTGCCCGAGTATCCCTTTAAGTTATCTTTATTAAAAATAAACTTATTATCTAAAGGACAAAGCATAGTAATTTATCTTTGTAGGCATCCATGGTCGAGTGGTTACTTAAGGTCAATGACTTCAATCTACTTGCCCCTCACTGTTTTGGGTTCGAATCCCATCAAGGACTTCGAATTCTTTCATGTTGAAAGAATGTTGATGGTTCTACTCAGGTGCCCGTATGTGCCTGAAAAAATATATGAAAGGGCACCTGAGGTCTTCCTCCATCTGACAGTAAAGCTGAAAAGTGACCATGTGACCTCTGCTGTGTTGGTCAATAAACAACCAAACATTCAAATAAAAAAATATCTTCAAGACAAAAGTTTGATTTAAGTAGAAAATGCAAATAAGAAGAATCTATGAAGGGATCTTACCATTTGACTGTAAAATAAGATTTTTGCCATGGAGATCAGGTGATGGTATAGCACTGATAGCTATGGGCTGATTGGCTGTAGATATCAACATAGCTGTTGATGTCCGTGATTCCGGAGATCCAGAAGTTTGATTGATCACATGACCTTGAACCTGCCCTACCTGCTGTATGCCAAGTAGCTCACTTTTTATCATTAGTCTTTTAGATACAGAGTCCATTTCCTGTTGACCTTTTCTTTTCAGATTTTTAGTGTTCTCAATTCTATGAACTAGAGTTTGTTTTAGTAGTTCATTTGCATTGATGTTTGTTCCATTTAAAATGTGCCCTCTTTTTTTAGGAATAACCATTTTATCAATTGCAAAATTGGTTTTAGGAGATGAAACTGTATTTCCAGTTTGAGAATTGGACACAAAATTAGCAGACGTCCATGCAGATGACTTACTTGACTGGATTAAATCACTCTTCAAACTTAATGGAACTTCATTAGCACTGGTTTTGCTCATACTATTAAGGTTGCTTACAATATCCCCATTTTCAATTACACTATATGGGCTATTTTCTAAACCTGCTATAATAACATTTTCCATAGCCTTTTTCACATTATTATCTGGAAGACAATCAAGTGGAATGCTGATAGGTAAACTAGGTCTTAATTTATTGAGATCATTTTCTGTTTGGCTAGGCTCTATAAAACCATTCAACTTGGGTATTGTATCAGCAGCACTTTTTCCTGATTGGTCAGTTCGAGTATTTTCTAGAAGTCTTCGTATTGATAAATTAGAATTAGCTACACTGGAAGAGTCTAAATCTGGCAGTACTTTTGATGATATGTTAACTTTCCCACGATTAGAACTCCTGCTTTTCCTTTCCTTTGTTTTTCTATTGGATTTGCCCACAGTCAGAGGTGAGGATGAAGCAGACGGCAGAATTGTTGCCATGTTTGGATGTAAATTCTCTAACTCTGACTCAATTTTCCTTTTCCTATCTGTCCTTTTAGCAGGTCCCTGAGGCAATTGATTTACTATATTTTCACTAACTTCTATGCTACTTTGTAGCTGTTTGACCTGAGTTTCAAGCTCCTGTGCTTGGGTAAGAAGCTGTTTTTTCCTACAGAGCGATTCAGAAAACTGATTAGCTAAATAACCCTGAGCATGTGACAGCTGCACTAGGCCATTCTGTAACAAAAGTTTAAAAAAGAAAGAAAATTAATATGAACAGTAATACTACCAGATCTGATAATAAATTTTAGACAAAATAGTAATCTCAAAGAAAAGTAAATTTACTGATAACATTAGAAATCTCAATTTTATAGTATAGATCTGTGATTATTACTTTAAACAAGAGGGCCATGATGGCCCTGAGGTCGCTCACCTGTATATAGCCCCCCCCCCCCCCCCCGGGCCAATTTTTACCCAAGGGCTTTTATTTGAACAGACTTGGTAGACACCCATAAGAAGATGTTTCATGCTAAACATCTAAGTTCTAGCTCATTGGGTTTTTTAAAAGAAGATTTTTAAGTTTTTACTATACACATATAGTTAAAAACAATGACACCCCTGGGGCAGGGCCAGTTTTGACTCCCGGGCTTTTATTTGAACAAACTTTGTAGATATTTACTTAAAGATGTTTCATGTATAATATCTAAACTCAAGCTATTTGGGTTTTTTCAAAGAAGATTTTTAAGTTTTTGCTATACACATATAAGGAAAATCAATGACCCCCGGGGCAGGGCCAGTTTTGACCCCAGGGCTTTTATTTGAACATACTTGGTAGACACCCATTAGAACATGTTTCATGCTAAATATCTTAGCTCTAGCTCTTTGAGTTCTTTAAAAGAAGATTTTTTAAGTTTTTACTATATGCATATAGGGAAAATCAATGACCCCCTGGGGCGGGGCCAATTTTGACCCCAGGGATTTTATTTGAACAAACTTGGTAGACACTCATTAGAAGATGTTTCATGCTAAATATCTTAGCTCTAGCTCTTTGGGTTCTTTAAAAGAAGATTTTTTAAGTTTTTACTATATGCATATAGGGAAAATCTATGACCCCCTGGGACAGGGCCAATTTTGACCCCAGGGCTTTTATTTGAACAAACTTGGTAGACATTCACTAGAAGATGTTTCATGCCAAATATTTAAGCTCTAGCTCTTACGGTTCTTTAAAAGAAGATTTTTTAAGTTTTTACTATATGCATATAGGGAAAATCAATGACCCCTTGGGGCGGGGCCAATTTTGACCCCAGGGCTTTTATTTGAACAAACTTGGTAGACACTCACTAGAAGATATTTCATGTCAAATATCTTAGCTCTAGCTCTTTGGGTTCTTTAAAAGAAGATTTTTTAAGTTTTTACTATATGCATATAGGGAAAATCTATGACCCCCTGGGGCAGGGCCAATTTTGACCTCAGGGCTTTTATTTGAACAAACTTGGTAGACACTCATTAGAAGATGTTTCATGCTAAATATCTTAGCTCTAGCTCTTTGGGTTCTTTAAAAGAAGATTTTTTAAGTTTTTACTATATGCATATAGGGAAAATCAATGACCCCCTGGGGCGGGACAATTTTGACCCCAGGGCTTTTATTTGAACAAACTTGGTAGACATTCACTAGTAGATGTTTCATGCCAAATATCTAAGCTCTAGCTTTTACAGTTCTTTAAAAGAAGATTTTTTAAGTTTTTACTATATGCATATAGGGAAAATCAATGACCCCCCGGGCCGGGGCCAATTTTGACCCCAGGGCTTTTATTTGAACAAACTTGGTAGACACTCACTAGAAGATGTTTCATGCTTAATATCTTAGCTCTAGCTCTTTGGGTTCTTTAAAAGAAGATTTTTAAGTTTTTACTATATGCATATAGGGAAAATCAATGACCCCCTGGGGCGGGGCCAATTTTGACCCTAGGGCTTTTATTTGAACAAACTTGGTAGACACTCATTAGAAGATGTTTCATGCCAAATATCTAAGCTCTAGCTCTTACGGTTCTTTAAAAGAAGATATTTAAAGATTTTTCTTTCGGTTGCCATGGCAACCAGAGTTCTGCATGAAATGGAATTCTTTGAACAATCTTGATAGAGCTTCATACAAAGAGTATTCCTGCCAAGTTTCATTAACATTGGCCTTGCGGTATCATAGAAGATGTCCTTAGAATATTTAAAATGTGGACGGACAACAGACGACGGACGCCATTTGGTTGGCCATCCTAAAAGCTCACCTGCACTTTGTGCAAGGTGAGCTAAAAATAAAATAAAAAAAAAACACAAAAAAAGAATTTAAAACAAAAACAATCTTTAAGTCAAATTGTTAAAGGATAAAAAGGGCCTTAAAAAAAAATTCTGAGAAAGAAATCAGAATTAACTTGATTTGTTTTCATAACATATAACGCTCTAATATGTTTCCTATGATGCAAAGGCACAGTTTGAAATGTTTCTAGTATATAGTGCAGTGTTTACCTTTTTGCCATTAGACTTCCCTGAAGTTACACTGTGATCCACCACAGCTTGATTTTGAGCCGCAAGCTGTAAATAAAAACGCCCTTCAGTTAAACTAAAGAATACTAAATAAACAAAAGTACTACAAACTTTGCCATGTTTTAAGGAGTTTTTCAATAGCTTTACTAAAAGGCTTTTGTAACATGTTACTCCAATTTTACCATGTAAGTCATTTATATGCAGAAGTGTAGAAGGTAGTTCTTAACAACTGCAGCAACATTACAGCATATGTTGAGCTGAACTCCATTGTCATATAGAAATAAAGGTACAGAATTGTGTTGTTGTTGAGTTGGTCTTAAGTCACCCACACTATAAAGATTATATGGCAATATCAAAAGAAAACCTCAGGTGCTATTCTCTGTGTTTTATTTCGGGCACCAATTAACATTTGAGTATAACTGATGTATAAAAGATGGCAGAATTTGTATCAACAGCAATTAGATGCAGAACAATGTATCACAGTAACTGGCAGGTTCTAGAAATAAGTTCCTGTTTTTGTACTTTCAAAATTACTTGCTTAGTGCAGATTTTATGTATCAACAAAACATCACATGTTAATTATAAGTTACTAACACAATTCCAACTATAATCAGTTTAAAAGAACAAAAATCTTTCTGTATCTAAAATCTGTGAATAAGAAACGTTATGCTAAACTGAATTTAAGTAACTTACCAGAGCTTGATTTTCTGTTTCTAGTTGTGCAATCTGTAACTGTAGACTTTGACCCATGGTTTCCAGCTCATTCTGTTGAGTAAGTATACCTCTAGCTTGTTCTATAAACTCTGACGGAGTACATGCGTCTATCTGTAGCTGTAATATATAAGAATATCTGGTAACATTTCGTATATATGGCCAAAATATTACATGTAAAACCATACTGCCAGATACAGTAATGTAAATTATAAGGCCAGAATATTACATGTAAATTATAATGCCAGAAAATTACATGTGAAACTATTCAGCCAGAATATTACATGTAATCTACATGTATATGGTCAGATCATAACATGTAAAACTTTATGACCAGAATATTACATGTTAAACTTTGTGACCAAAAAATTACATGTGAAACCATATGGCCAGAACATTACATGTAAATATTATGGCCAAAATATTACATGTGAAACTTTATAGCCAGAACATTACATGTGAAACCATATGGCCAGAACATTACATGTAATCTTAATGGCCAAAATATTACATGTGAAACTATATGGCCAGAACATTACATGTGAAACCATATGGCTAGAACATTACATGTAAACTTTATGGCCAGAACATTACATGTGAAACTATACGGCCAGAACATTACATGTGAAACCATATGGCCAGAACATTACAATTGAAAATATATGGCCAGAACATTACATGTGAAACCATATGGCCAGAACATTACATGTGAAACTATATGGCCAGAACATTACATGTGAAACCATATGGCCAGAACATTACAATTGAAACTATATGGCCAGAACATTACATGTGAAACCATATGGCTAGAACATTACATGTAAACTTAATGGCCAAAATATTACATGTAAAACTATACGGCCAAAACATTACAATTAAAACTATATGGCCAGAACATTACAATTGAAACTATATGGCCAGAACATTACATGTGAAACCATATGGCCAGAACATTACATGTGAAACCATATGGCCAGAACATTACATGTGAAACTATATGGCCAGAACATTACATGTGAAACAATATGGCCAGAACATTATAATTGAAACTATATGGCTAGAACATTACATGTGAAACCATATGGCCAGAACATTACATGTAAACTTAATGGCCAAAATATTACATGTAATCTATATGGTCAGAACATTACATGTGAAACTATATGGCCAGAACTTGACTAGCATCTTAAACTCTCTTTGATACAAGTTGTTTAATGAATTGAAATAAGCAAAAAAATTTATACTATTGCACCATTCTGATGATGTTTAGTTATCAAACCATCTTTTATAAACAATAAAATCTATTAATGAGCTATCATAAAGGGTTATTACCTCTTTCAATCTTGTCTTTAACTGTTTCGTACTGTCTTTTTGTAAATGTTCTATCTGTTTCTCTAACCGGATAACTTCTGAGTTCAAATCAAGCTTGCGTAACTATAACAACAAAAATCAATTTAGAATACATATACATATTTTCTATAATAAATAACTACAAGCTTTGACACTATATTATCAAATGATTAAAACTAATTAAAAGTAATTTAAGAGATAAATGAAATTATTCTTCAGTTATAGCTCAATTATTATTTTTAGTTATAACACATACAGGATATTGGTTTCCTTAAATCAACAAAAAATTTCTAAAAATAATAATGAAACATAACAGTTTCTTTTTTCAATTAATTTGAATCATTATATGATCTTGCATTTGAAAGCAGCTTACATTTATTGTTAGTAACACAAATATTAAATAATCATAAAGTTTCATCATGAGATGAATTATGGCTGAGATGAACTAGAGTTGATATGAACTAGATTTTAGATTAACAAGAGTTGAGGAGAATTAGTGTTGAGATGAACTAAAGTTGAAATGAATTAGTGTTGAGATGAACTAAAGATGAGATGAACTAGAGTTGAGATCAATTAGTGTAGAGAGGAACTAAAGTTGAGATGTACTAGAGTAGAGATGAATTAGTGTTGAGATGAACTTAGTTGAAATGAACTAAAGTTGAGATGAACTTGAATTGAGATGAACTAGAGTTCAGATGAATCAGTGTTGAGATGAACTAGTCTTAAGATAGACCATGTTGAGGTTAAGTAGATGATATAAAGTGAAAATCATAGTAATATTCTACCTTTTCTTTCTCAATCTGTTCTGTTACAGATTCCTTATATTCTGGTGTCTGCATATACACCAAGAACTGCATGTATTCTTGTCTAAATACATCTGAAATAACACAATATATAACCAACTATTAGTCATTAATATAATCTTAATGTTTACCTGGCTAAATTTGTTAACTGGACTTGTCCTGTTAAGATTTTTGGAACAGTTTTTAATTCATTTAAGGAATCTTAACATTTAAAACACTCAGTAGAAACTACAGTATTGTTCAGTCAGATCTCATGAATATGGATTATGGAGGCTTACTAAACTCTACACAGATGACATAGGTAAGATATACATGTAATAGCACTTTGCCTAAGTATTAAATAAAACAGTCATTATATACAGTCATGCACTGCACTTCATTCACAAAATTAAATCTAAAATACAGTAAACTCATTTCACCTAAAAAATAGCATTAAATTATTTATGAAATTTTAAGTAACAAGTGGTAATAAAATATCCAAAATTACCCATGAGCTGTTGCACAACTGGTGCCATTTCTAATGCGGACACAGATTGAGCCTGGACCGATGGTTTAAAGTACGAGTTAGACATAGCTGTCATGCTTGGTTCATTGTAACTCTTCTTCATTTTATCATCAGCTAAAATACATAACATATCATCAGATAAAATACATAACATATCATCAGCTAAAATACACATTATATCATCAGCTAAAATACACATTACATCATCAGCTAAAATACATAACATATCATCAGATAAAATACATAACATATCATCAGATAAAATACATAACATATCATCAGATAAAATACATAACATATCATCAGCTAAAATACATAACATATCATCAGATAAAATACATAACATATCATCAGCTAAAATACACAATATATCATCAGCTAAAATACACATTACATCATCAGCTAAAATACACATGTATATCATCAGCTAAAATACACATTATATTATAGTCTGATTTAATTGACCTGTCAATAATGAATACATTATAGCACTCATTTAAATATTCGATCCCACTTCGGTTTTGTCCGTTTATTTTACGAGAATACGGAGTATATCACTAACGTTTGGAAAACTCCCACTAGCTAAATGTTAGTTCTCGTAACTTCCGCAATAGCGCAGTCGGTTAAGTGATTACCTTATGTATGAGAGGTCCGAGGTTCGATCCCTTCTTTTGACATTCTTTTTAGATTTATTCTGTCTTTATTTTTAGGTATATTTTAAAGAAAATAGTCAAGCGCTTGCAAAATGTCTACATGGATATGAAACAACTAAGAAACACTGAATTATCATATTTTGTAATCCGAATGAATTTTCAGTATCAATTCATAAACAATGTTATACATGTACATATAAAAAATATAATATTTACAAAAAAGTGCAAAACATATTAAAACAGACAACCATAACTTCAAAATTTTTGAAAATAGTTATGAATAAGTAAAAAACCTCGACATACACTGTTTCGATCTTACAACATGTAGGACATTTTGATATTTTATACCCGTGGTTTACCCTATTGCGCTATAACGGTCAGTGTAACTAATTCATGGAAACTAGATGAATTTAATCACATCTTACTGCATACCTCTCACGGAATTTACCGAACATTTATCGAATTTAATATATACTGTGCATTGACCGTATAATGAGTATGGAATTGACAGGTTAATAAAATCAAACAATATCAGGTTCAAACCACCTTTTATTATCTAGATCATATTTGTGAATGTCTTCAAATGTTAAACATAAGTATTTTTTCATCCCTTGTAACACATTATTTAAATAACTCTATTTTTAGCTTACAGACATTTTTGTTTTATTTGTTTCAAACTAGACTAATCAGTATTTCAGGCAGCCAGTACCTCACATGTGAACCTGGATTTTGTACCAGTACTTTCCTGTTCTTACTAACCTGGCAACACTCTAAAACATTCATAGAATATTTTAAACAAATATAGTTATTGCAGCAGGCATAGTGCCATCAACCAGAAGTGTCTATGGAAATCATGTTTCAAATTTATGACTCATACAAGTGAAACTAGACCTATCACTGAAGGTGATTAATACCCCCACCAGCAACTTTGACTTTTTGAAAAATAAGTAGTCTGAAGAAAAATTTGAACACAAACTATCAACTGTGTACAAAGAAATATTTCAATTAATTGTAATCCCTACTGGGGTCTCTAAATAAGCTTGCTTTTCACAAAGTTTGAATACAATATCTCATTTCTAACTCTAGTTATTATCCGGAAACCATTTTTCTATTTTTAGTAACACTGTAACAGTGACCTTGACCCTAGGGGGTCCAAATGCAATACCAACCAAGGTCTTCATATAAGCTTGCTATACACCAAATTTGATTACAATATCTCATTCCTAACTCTAGTTATTGTCAGAAAACCATTTTTCTATTTTTAGTAACAGTGACCTTGACCCCAGTGGGCCCAAATGCAATACCAACCCAGGTCTTCATATCAGCTTGCTATACCCCAAGTTTGATAACAATATCTCATTCCTAACTCTAGTTATTGTCTGGAGATTTTTCTATTTTTAGTAACAGTGACCTTGACCTTGACCCCAGGGGGTCCAAATGCAATACCAACCCAGGTCATTATATAAGCTTGCTATACACCAAGTTTGATAACAATATCTCATTCCTAACTTTAGTTATTGTCCGGAAACCATTAAATAACGGTGACCTTGACCTTGACCCCAGGGGGTCCAAATGCAATACCAAGCCAGGTCTTCATATAAGCTTGCTATACACCAAGTTTGATAACAATATCTCATTCCTAACTCTAGTTATTGTCCGGAAACCATTTTTCTATTTTTAGTAACGGTGACCTTGACCTTGACCCCAGGGGGTCCAAATGCAATACCAAGCCAGGTCTTAATGTAAGCTTGCTATACATCAAGTTTGATAACAATATCTCATTCCTAACTCTAGTTATCGTCCGGAAACCATTTTTCTATTTTTAGTAACGGTGACTTTGACCTTGACCCCAGGGGGTCCAAATGCAATACCAACCCAGGCCTTCATATAAGCTTTCTATAGGCCAAGTTTGATAACAATATCTCATTCCTAACTCTAGTTATTGTCCGGAAACCATTTTTCTATTTTTAGTAACGGTGACCTTGACCTTGACCCCAGGGGGTCCAAATGCAATACCAACCCAGGTCTTCATATAAGCTTGCTATACACCAAGTTTGATAACAATATCTCATTCTTAACTGTAGTTATTGTCCGGAAACCATTTTTCTAATTTTAGTAACGGTGACCTTGACCTTGACCCCAGGGGGTCCAAATGCAATACCAGCCGGAGTTTTCACACAAGGTTGCTATATACCAAGTTTGATTACAATACCTCATTCCAAACTCTAGTTATCGTCCGGAAACCATGATGTGGACCGACCGACGGACGGACCGACCGACCAACCGACCGACAAGCTGACTCCTATATACCCCCCCTAAACTTCGTTTGTGGGGGTATAATAAAGACCGGACCCTATCAAAGTGTGAGCTAATTATGTGAACGTATGTGGCAATTTATTGAGCAGTGTATAATGAAGATGTATAAGATGTATATATACCTGCAGTGGATGTAGACAGTAAGGTATGACTATGTAACAGGTTTAAACTATCTAAGGCTAGCACCTTCTCTTTACTCTTGTTTTTAGCTAAAGCTCGAGCCTTTAGTGCAGACAACACTTTACGCTGCTTTCTTCTATGTACTATAAAAAAAAGATGATAATATATCAATCAACTCAAGCTCCAAAAATAAACAATTTAATACAATGATCACACAATGTCAAATGTATAGACTGAAGTTTTTACATCATTCTACTTTAGTATGCTAGTACAATTCAAAATACAAATATACAATGGCTGGGAACTAATAAATCATAAACCATTTCAAGTGTAGACTATTTCTATTTTATTAATTATATTTGTACAGTATAGCAAAATGAATAAAACAAAGTATTTTTAATAACTTTTTATCCACAGGTTACTTATACAGAAATAACAGCAGTAAATATGTAATGAAAACTTTAATGATATATACATCTAATGAGACTGAAGTAAATAAAGATATATAAAGATAACTTACCCATTTTCTTTTCATTATTTTCTTTTAATGGTCCATTACTTATGTCAGTTATAGCAGCCTGTATCTTTTGTTTGGCTACTAAATGAGCTTTCCTTCCAGCTAATGGTTTTATAGATTTCTGTCTCGTCCGTCTAACTTCTCTTTCTTCCTCTTCCTCCTACATCAAATATATGAAAATATTATTCTTGTTCATAACATTCTCTATACACACTCAACACAATCAAACATCACCATTGAATTCAAACTTGACAAACCATATAAGATATCTAACCTTTTACATGTGGATATGATTTAAATGTTATTCATTCTTCATTTTACTATAACTATTTGTAGTTCTAAATTGTTTGTCTAGAAATATTAACATCAAAGAATATTAAATAGCCTTATAACATATAAGATATTTGCCCAATATAACTATCTACTAATATACATAAACTGTCACTTGTTTCACACTTAAATTTCAACTTTATTCCAATGTCTTGAAATTCAGAACAAAATCCTCTTTTTTGATCATAATTGAATCATTATAACACTAAGCATTATATTAGCAAATATTTCAAGCAAAACACTACACGATATTAGATATGGCAAAATATCAATTTACACATACAATACTTGGAATTTGTATGGTCTGTTGATTTTGTGGCAAAGAAACATTGTCTACTTAAGATATGACAGATTATTTCACACTATGCTTTTAAAACATTTTCTCATTTAGAATAACTTGACAAAATGAAATATCTTGCAACCCATCTCCAGCCCAGAGGCAAACATTAAATAAAATTAATTCAAAATAACATGAAGAGAAGAACTTGAATTTCATAAAATAAAATGAATAAAGAAATTTGAAATCATGTGAACAGTTTTGAATAACTAATTAAAAGTTGAATGTGACATGTTAACACTGATTTATTACATACTTCTATCTGAACAAAAACACTGACAAGAAATTAATCAAGTTCCAAACCTCCATTTTATGAAACATATTGTCCATTTATAACACACTCTGTTTGTAATTTAATATCGGTAAGTTAATGATTGTATTAGACAAAGCTTAGAAAAGATAGTCAGTCACACAGGGTATTATCCCAATAAAAGTTTTATATTATGAAAGTTATGTCAATTAAACAATATATATACAAACATGATGTCATAGTTTGACATAAATGTCACTTCACTAACACACATACAAGTTAGCATTTTCTTCTAATAAAGTTACTGCCTGTTACTCTATAATTACCAATGGTAGTAGCAAATATTTTTTTTGTTTAATGTAGTTACATAGGTGTATTGTTGAACTAACTTGTTAGCAAGCTATCCAGCTTGTTATATAGAAATTTCTCATCAACAAAATTATAAAACCAACAGCATAATGCTGCATTTAGCTTAGAAAAACACTTATAATTTTCAGTTCACACTGACGCTCACGGTAGTTGAAATGTTTATTGAAATCAAAATACGTCACCAAAATGATGACAACCAATAATGCATGAACTATTTCAAAATGTGTCTAGGGGAAGGAACTCTATATGGTTTACAGAGTGCAGAAAACAATATAAAAATGTCAATGGTGCAAGAAATTTCTTATTCTGAACCAAAAGAGATCAAATAAAGTGACCAAAAATCGCTAAATTTTAAAACGTGACACACAGCAGAACATCATAACCCAAGTAAACAAAAACAAAACAAGAGCAAACTATTCACTACTTTAACTACCGACAACATCTCCTCGTTAGCCTCACTCACATTTTCTGTGTCGGATACAGAAGATGCAGACTGAACGGGTGGAGGTCTAGAGATCCACTGGGACCACTTGTGCCGTGTCGTAGGGCCATATACCTGATACTCCTCATTACCCGTCATTTCAGAACTCGCGTTGCTTGTCGAGTCAAAGTCTAGAAGTTTAGCTGCCTTATATGAGCTGTCTGATTTCTTGTCGCCAGTTTTTTGTTCCTGCAAATGAAAGCGCATCAACTGCAAATTTTATAAACATTTTATTTCAATTCTTTTAGTTCTTTATACTGAAAATTTATTTAAATAAAGCAGGTTTTGCAGAATTATAATGTAAATTTTTGAAATATTTCTATTTTATAAAAAAAAAATAAAGAATAAATAAATTCTATATCATATACTTTTCAAAATATTATTTTATGTAAGTGCAGACTGAATGAGAGACAAAACAGTCATATCTACTATGTGGCAACTTGGCAGAGGAAACTGTAATAAAGCTCATCAAGAATGTTAGAACCAAGCCCCCCTGACCTGTTGTGAATATGTGCTTAGGTAAAAAAAAACCTTAAAAGTACCGTTTTTTTTAATGATACATGTATTTCTAACAATAATTCTGTAATGTACTTGATATAGAAACAATATAATATATATATATGAGATGACTGACCTGAGAGTTATTTTTGAGTGATGATGTTAATGAAGGAACAAGTCTGCCTCTCCTATCTTTCCTCAATGGTTTAGTTGGTTCTTCTTCAATCTAAAAATAAATCTGGTCATTATTTATGGGATTGATCAGAAAATATACTTGCTAATTGAACAAACCTATCAGTCTTGCAACTTCTTAAAAATACAGCAGTCTGGGCTTGCATTGAACTATGATTTTACCAAAATACTAAGTTGGCTGTTTCTTGCTTATATAAATACATTAATCTATTCAATTAAGACGATTTCAGCAAAGTATTAAAACTTATGTTTGTATAACTTTATTTAGAGAACTTCCCACATGAACACCATTATCCTTAATACAGATTCTTATAAACTCATTATAACTAGTAAACACTTCATTTGAAATTATTGATAAAGCTGATATCATGATAAAAAATCTGACATTCCTATAAGTTCACTTTGAATATATTACATCAAACTCTGTATTAATGCTTTCCTTTAAATAAAGAAGCAAATCAACAGTACCTACCTTTTTAGAGGGATTTCTTATTCTTTGAAAGTATTTCTCTAGCTGTAATTACAACAAATCATTTACTTATATTTCATTAAACCAGCATAAGACTTATACTTCATAAACTGCCTCTCTTTTAAATAAAACATACTTAAGAAAAAAAATGATGTTTTACCGCGAAACATCTGTTACTGATGAAACATGTTTTAAGTACATGTACTTTTTAATGAATATCTATGTTCTTCATGAAGACAGATCAATTAAAATATAAAGAGAAAAGACTGCCATATGTTTTAAACACAACTGTTACAAAATGTCACAACAAAATAAAATATTTATGGAAAGTTTAAGAATACTGTTACAAAAAAAAACATATAATACCATAAGTTCTAAAATTTGTATCTAGAATGCCTTTTGACAGGTTTTCTAACATAATATAAATAATTGTAAGCTTAGAAAAGGCCTGTGTTTATATCAACAGTTTATACCAGGTAAAATATTTAGAATTTATAATACTGCATACTAGTAATAGATTTTTTTTATTTCAATCAAACATAATTCATTAAATTTTAGTTTAAGTTTCTTATTGATAATATTAACATCTTGATTGTCGATACAAACATGCAGTATTATGAAAATTTAGTAGGTCATGATTCAGCTAGATACCTTATAACAATATCAAACAATTTAATATAAAACAAACAAAATATCATAATAAATATCACATCTTACATTTGTAAGATCTCAGTCCATCATTTATCATACAGATTTCATATATTAAACTGTCAACAATGCAGCAATGTATCTACAGAATGTGTGAAGTTTTCCCCATGTCTATTTCAGTGTGTTTATAATGTTTATATTTCTTACATTATGATCTGTTTGACTTAAAATTCTCATTAAAATAAGACATCTGCTGTTTTTTATGTATAAATACAGACAAAGAAACCCAAAGTCATTTTAAGCAGACAATTTAATGTACATTTTGTAAAATTTTCATACCTATACAAAATCATAACAAATCCAAACAAGTTATTACCGATGTAGTAGACTTGATTAAAGAAGACATTAAGGGTACAAAAAATATACTGTAATAATATATATATATATATTTTTCTTCTTCAAAGCAGCTGTTTCAAATTGCCCCTGGTAACGCAGCTGTCATCATGTGATATACTCTATCCTGTCATGTGATCACCATCACTATGGTAACAGTGAAGGTGACAGTCTAACACAGGAGTTATACACTACTCACCAGGGTTCGGTCTATCGTATGAACATAGTAGCTAAACGCTTTTCCCGTCCATGACACTGCACCGCTCATGGGGGATAACTCAGTCACGTGCATAATTGTTCCAATATCTGCAAAGGCAGAGATGTGAATTCATCGTACAGATGAAACATACTCTCATGCTATAAGAAGATTGTACATACACACACACACACAGACAGACAAACTGACAAATATACAAAGAAATTAACAGTAACACAAACATTCATTCCAGCATATTCACACATTCAGGTAGGATTCAGGTGATGTAAAGGGAAATATGAGAAAGATACAAATCACATCATTTTAACAATTCTAGGACATTTTAATCAACAAAATTAATGTAACCTTACAATACATGTTGTTATTACAACAACTTTTATTTTATTACAGTAAACATTCAAAAGGAAAAATGAATACTGTGATTTTCTTTTTTATTTATAAATGAGTAAAATTTACGTGTTGTTAAATTTAGTAAGATGATGCATTTGTATCTTTTATATAAGAAACTGGCATGTGTGTGTGTTTGTTTGATAGAATAATGATGGGATATGATTGGATGTTAGTAAATGGTAATACATAAACTTCTGGCTTTTTATCTGATGATATAAATTTCATACATGTTCTGATTGTATAAACCAGAAATTTATGTAAATTTGGAAAAAAGCACGAGATTTTTTTTGCAGCAGACGACAAAGTCAGATCAAGTCTGTCAAGACAGACAACTCATCTGCTGCACATCAAGGGACAGAACTCCTGTCCTTCACTCACCATCGTCCTATCAACTACATGAAGAAAATATGTAACAGGATTACACGTCCAGGATACCGCGCCTCTCAGGGGTGACAACTCCGTAACCTGCATTATAGCTCCAATATCTGTGAACAATTTCCGACAAAATAAATGGATGAAACCAAAGCTTGACCAATGACAATAACTTTTTTGAGCATGTTTTCAGGGTCCTTGTTTAAAATCTAGCACCCCACCCTAATATTCATGAGAAACATTTCATAATTTTGAATAGCCAAATCCAAATTATTGCCTGTCCAAATTGTATAAAATCATGCTAGATAATATATAGTAAAATGATTCAAATTTGTGACAATATGATATCATGGTAGATTTAAATGCTAAGGCTTGGACCAGTAAACAAGCTCCCTGCCATGTTAAATGAATAATGTTATGACATCAACAGAAAATGAAAACATGACTGGTGAAAACAAGGGGATGTCATGAAACTAGGACACACATATCATGCAATACATCTCACAGCTGATCTTTACAAGTATTACATCAGATCACCTAAGTTCTACCATAAACCATCAAATATAAAAACTTTATTCATTATTCTAGTGGAACTTAAAACTAGAACTATCACTAAATGTGATTAATACCCCCACAAGACTGCTTCTGAAATGAGGATGTTACTAGTAACAGAATACCTTGTAAAAGAATTGAAATATAGAGTTATGGTTATGGGCAATTAAAGATAGTTGTGTATGTTGCATTTCCTTTCAATGTGGTTGGCCATTGATGAAGTTTTATTGAATTACTCTGTAATAAGTTCAGAAAGACAAAGAAAAGGAACAAAGGGCAATAACTCTATAAATACTGAAGCTGAAGTTATAGTTCTTGTGCACTGCATTTCCTCTTATTGTGCTTAACCATTGTATGAAGTTGTTTTGAATTCCAACCAGTACGTTTTAAGTTATGCTCCGGGCAAGGAAAAGTATCAAAGGGCAGTAACTCTGTATTTTGTCAAAATGTAGTTATGGCTCTTGTGCACTGCACTTCCTTTTAATGTCCTTGACAACTGTATGAAGTTGTATTGAATTCCAAACAGTAGTTTTCAAGTTATGCTCTGGACAAGGAAAAGTAACAAAGGACAATAACTCTGTAATTAGTCAAGATGGAGTTATGGTTCTTGTGCACTGCACTTCCCTTTATTGTGCTTGACGATTGTATGAAGTTGTTTTGAATTCCAACCAGTAGTTTTCAAGTCATGCTCTTGACAAGGAAAAGTAACAAAGGGCAGTAACTTCTTTAATAAGTCAAGATGGAGTTATGGTTCTTGTGCACTGCACTTCCTCTCAATGTGCTTGACCATTGTATGAAGTTAAAATGAATTGCACAATAAGTCTTCAAGTTATGGTCCGGACAAAAGAAAGCAATGGAAAAGTGACAAAAGCCAATAAATCTGTAATTACTTAAGATAGAGTTATGGTTCTTGTGCACTGCACTTCTCCTTATTGTGTTTGATAATTGTATGAAGTTGTTTTGAATTCCAACCAGTAGTTTTCAAGTTATACCTTGGACAAGGAAAAGTAACAAAGGGCAATAACTCTGTAATGAGTCAAGATAGAGTTATGGTTCTTGTGCACTGCACTTCCCTCTCAATGTGCTTGACAATTGCATGTAGTTATATTGAATTCCAACCATTAGTCTTCAAGTTATGGTCCGGACAAAAGAAAGCGATGGAAAAGTAAGAAAGGGCAATAACTCTGTAATTACTTTAGATAGAGTTATGGTTCTTGTGCACTGCACTTCCCCTTATTGTGTTTGACAATTGTATGAAGTTGTTTTGAATTCCAACCAGTAGTTTTCAAGTTATGCCCCGGACAAGGAAAAGTAACAAAGGGCAATAACTCTGTAATTAGTCAAGATAGAGTTATGGTTCTTGTGCACTGCACTTCCTCTCAATGTGCTTGACCATTGTATGAAGTTATATTGAATTCCAACCATTAGTCTTCAAGTTATGCTCCGGACAAGGAAAATGCAACGGACGTCTGGACCGACCGACCGACCGACCGACCGACCAACCAACCGACCAACCGACCACCGGGTGACTCCTATATACCCCCCCAAACTTCGTTTTTGGGGGTATAAATATAACAAAGTTAGAAAATTGTTAATGGATTCCTTATACAGAACATGTTTCTTTCAAATTTGAATAGCTCACAAAGCTTTTGGTTTGTCACTGCATTTAATAAAGTTGTCTCCCTTTGACCACAATGATCAATAGGTTAAATAAATTTTGAATAATCTTGATACTCTATTTCTGTGTTGTAGCTCAAAACCATATACATGTAATTGTATGAGTTGATAAGTTATTGTAGAACTAGTGCAAACATATAATCAATTATCTACTTTTGTTATCTATATACATATGTTAACCATTATTATACAGGAAAATTTAAATTTTTAGCAATTCATCTACCATTTTAATCTTTAAGACAAATAACAATATTATCTCTTTAACTTTAATATTTGTTTAAATGATAATTTTAAAATTCACACAAACGATAATATTAATAATGATGTTGCATTTTCAATGAAATTCTTGATCTTTATATCTTTTACATTAATTATTGATGACAAAATGTATAAATTTCTTACCACTTAGATTACGATCTGTGATTCTGAAGTTGAGAGGACAGAATGCTTTTGATGACACAATCTTTGCACCTTCCTTCATGTTTGCAAACCTGAGTTTTAGCTGTAATAAAAAATGCAAGGTGTTCAAAATTTGTTTTCAGGTTGAAACCTTCTCATAGATCTGCTAAATGCAGGACAGATCTGATGATAACTTGCCGAGAATCCCACAATGCATTATTTCAGGCACAAAGAGGGCATCTGATTGAAACTCGACAAATACCTGCTAGCAAGTAGATTCAGTGACTATTCTAGGATATACATTTGCAGGATTATCCACGTTTTTTTTTTTTAAATCTTTCTTTTATGACACTCATGTGCACGTAATTCTTGTGTAATACCAAAATTTAATCAAACAAGTTTATTTTTGGCAAATGTTTATCTTGCATAATACCACATTTAATCTTTGGCAATTGTAAATCTTGCATTATACCACTTTTAATCTTTGGCCATTGTAAATCTTGCATTATACCACTTTTAATCTTTGGCCATTGTAAATCTTGCATTATACCACTTTTAATCTTTGGCCATTGTAAATCTTGCATTATACCACTTTTAATCTTTGGCCATTGTAAATCTTGCATTATACCACTTTTAATCTTTGGCCATTGTAAATCTTGCATTATACCACTTTTAATCTTTGGCCATTGTAAATCTTGCATTATACCACTTTTAATCTTTGGCCATTGTAAATCTTGCATTATACCACTTTTAATCTTTGGCCATTGTAAATCTTGCATTATACCACTTTTAATCTTTGGCCATTGTAAATCTTGCATTATACCACTTTTAATCTTTGGCAATTGCAAATCTTGCATAATACCGTATTTGATCAAACTCGTTTATTTTTGGCAATTGCAAATCTTGCATATTTAATGAAACAAAATTTATTCTTGTCAAATTATCTATTAAGTAAAATCAATATTCATTTAATCTGTTTAAATTATTTTAGGGTTTCCCTACTTTTTTAATTGATTGGGGGGAAATTCCTCCATAACTTTCAAAATTATATAATAGTCCCTGCTGTTAACTTCCTTGAATGAGATTACTTAAACAGTGGAACTTTTATCCCCCCAAAATTTGAATTTAAGCAAAAGTATGTGTGTCTGATGTGAATAAAATTATTGTTGGGAAAAAAAAGAGTAATTATGGAATTTAAAAATGTATGTGAATTGAACAATAACATAGAGTCTCACCTGGTGATCAACTTGGGGCCCAAAAGCAAAGTTGTTCACAAATATCACACTGAAAATAACAAATTTTAATTCATTCAAAATTATATCTTTTTCTGTTGAATCAAAATAATGTACTGATTCTAGTACATTACTTCATTCAGCCTTATTTCAATTTCATCTATACATATAAACTAAAAGTATATACAAAGTACAGCCTACTCCACTTACAACGAAATCGGTTCTAACAAGGTACCGCTTATAACATACATTCTACTATATCCCAGCCTTTTTCCTTGTATTTTCCTTTCATTTTATACTGTTTATAACAAGATCAGTTTTAGCAAGATATCATACATATATTGGCAGTTCCATGCATATTTTTCAAAATTTTAATGAGGTCACTCCATTGGCACGTTGGGTTGCATCAGTTTCTCATCTTGAGAAAATGATGGTCAATTAAGAAAGTAATTATTGAGCAATTAGCAAACAAATATGTCAGCCTTGTTTTGTCATTGCTCTGGGCTACATTGTCCTAAAGGGGACGAAATGTTATAACAAAACAACTTTTTCAGTGATGAACACAAATGAAATGGCTAATTTCTTGCAGTGTTATTCAATATACTTATATATATTTAATTAAAACAACAACTTCTAAGGGTAAAAAAAATTCAAAAAGTTACCACCCACTATGACCTCTTCAAAACAGATGTATGCGAAAACGAAAGTAGAAATAAATGAATCCCTACCACGTCAGATTTCTCAATTTGTTTTGTCCCGGTTATAACGAGACCCTGTTATAACTAGGAACCATGAGAAGTCCCAACGATCTCGTTGTATCAGGAGTGGACATTATAATATTATTAAAAATGTGCACTATAGAAACACTCAAGACAAAAAAATCACTTACGTGGCTGTTTAGTGGCTGTTTAAAGACAAAATCACTTACGTAGCACTATTAATTCTATCTTTAGTATCTTCCGACAGAAAATCTCCTTTTTCTAACTGTAAAATAAACGCTATAACAATAAAAATATGTTTAAAGTAAAGGGGAATCACTCTTGTAACCTTAAGAAAGAGTTTTATATAACCAAGAACATACAACAATATAACTATTGAATTATTTCATGGATATACCAAAACTACTGAAGTATTCTATATATATATATACCTAAGTTCCTGAACTATTTCCTAGATATACCAAAGGTATTGAATTATTCTAAAGATATACCAAAGGTATTGAATTATTTTAAAGATATACCAAAGCTATTTAATTACTTTATAGATATACACAAGCTACTGAATTATTTCACAGATACGAGTCCTTAATAGATATACTTAAGTTCCTAAACTATTTTCTTGATATACCAAAGATAGTGAATTTTTTCAAATATATACCAAAAGTATTCAAGTATTTCATAAACATACCAAAACTATCAAACTATTTTGAATACACCAAAGCTATTTAATGATTTTATAGATATACCAAAGCTATTGAACTACTTAACAGATATACCAAAGCTACTAGTATTGAATTATTTCAAAGATATATAAACTATTTAATTATGTAAGATATACCAAAACTATTGAATTATGTTAGATATACCAAAACTATTGAATTATGTAAGATATACCAAAAGTATTAAATAATTTCAAAGATATACCAAAGCTATTGAATTATTTCATAGATATACCAAAGCTATTGAATTATTTCATAGATATACCAAAGCTATTGAATTATTTCATAGATATGCCAAAGCTATTGAATTATTTCATAGATATGCCAAAGCTATTGAATTATTTCATAGATATATCAAAGCTATCAAACTATTTCACTGATATTTCAAAAATATTAATACCCAACATAAACTTCATCAGTGTAAAAATTTATATTTAAGTTAAAAACTTTACTAAACTTGTAGAAACAGTTACAATTTTAGTCAAGACTGAAGTATTTCCATGTAGATAGTAGATCCTTACCAAAAATTTGCAGTACTTCTTGCCATACCATTTCATCCAACGTTTATATTGTTCTATCATACCCTGAAATCATATAACAAATAAACAATATAATTTACATTTTGTTGCAAAATGTGTTTGATAAAATTTATTCATGTCATGAGAGAAGCCTGTTGACTCTTAAATGAAAATTAAAATTTTTGCAATTTGAGCTGAATAAACTCCAAATAAACAGAAACACTGCTCTTTTACTAATGAATATCATAAAATAAATTGAAATGATAGCCGTAATGATAAAAGACATTTGACAACAACTTGTAAATCCAAGGAAGAAGTCATTACTCTAGTATATCCAAAGATTACACTTATTTAAATAGGAAAAAACAATATTTTATACATACATCAGCATATGCTGCAGGCCACTCAGCTTTCTCGATACCATAACATAATTTACATGGTGTAGCAGCTGCCACCTGGAGGACAACCTGACCCACACCTGTAGTTATATAATAAATCAACAATATAGCATCATATAAGTACATTTCAACAACAAACAATACTAATTACAAAACCTTTACCATATTAAACAAGAGGGCCAAGATAGCCCTAGATCGCTCACCTGACCCATCAAACTCACCTGAACAATTACCTAGACAAGTATTCTCAGACCTAGTTTCATGACAGGTGAGTCAAAAATGTGACCACTAGTGTTAACAAGGATTATCCATATTTATGCAGTGTGACCTAGTTTTTGAACCCAGTTGACCCAAATTCGAACTTGACCTAGAAATCATCAAAACAAACTTTCAGATCAATTTGGATCATAATAGTAGCCACTAGAGTGTTAACAAGATTTTTCTATTTTTAGCTCCTGTGACCTAATTTTTAATCTGAGATGACCCATGTTTAAACTCAGCCGAGCATTTACCTAGACAAGCATCCTGACCAAGTTTAATGATAAATGAGTCAAAAATGTGACCACTAGAGTGTTAACAATTTTTTTCTATTTTAAGCTCCTGTGACCTAGTTTTTCATCCGAGATGACCCATGTTCGAACTCATCCGAGCAATTACGTAGACAAGCATCCTGACCAAGTTTGATGATGATCGAGTCAAAAATGTGAATGCTAGAGTGTCAACAAGGTTTTTCTTTTTTTAGCTCCTGTGACCTTGTTTTTCATCTGAGATGACCCATGTTCGAACTCATCTGAGCAATTACCTTGACAAACATCCTGACCAAGTTTGATGATCATTGCGGCAAAAATGTGACCACTAGAGTGTTAACAAGGTTTTTCTATTTTAAGCTCCTGTGACCTAGTTTTTCATCCAGATGACTCATGTTCGAACTCATCCTAGATAAGCATCCTGACCAAGTTTGATGATAATTGTTGCTAAAATGTGACCGCTAGAGTGTTAACGAACATGTGTGGATAGACGACAGAGGACGGACATTCAACGATCCTAAAAGCTCACCCTGAGCTAGCTCAGGTGAGCTAAAAAAAACATTTATATTGACACATTTAGAAATGGTGCAAAGTTTAACAGCTAGCCTGTATGATATGCTTTTAAAACTTAAAATCTTTATACAGAATATGTCAAAATATCAATTTGCTTTTTACATTGAATTGGTGTAGCTTTGTTACAGTGATATGACTACTTGCTTGAATAATGACTTATACACCTGTTACAACGTAAACAAAACAAAAACTAGACTATTATTTTATTCCTTAATCTGCTGAATTTCTTAAATTGACTTTTTCAATTTCCATTTTAGAACAGTCCATTATCAATTTTAGGTATATCAAGGTGAGCCAACAGTATAGAGCCTTGTCAGACTGCACAGCTGGCTCTATACTGGTGGCAAAGACTAGGTAAAGGTTAAAAGATGCATATCTTACCACTTCCGAGATCAATAAAGTAGTCATCTTCTGTAAAGTTAATAGACTTCACCATCTGATCTACAAGATCAAATGATGTCTCCCCATAAACCTGAAATATATAACAATGTGGATTATAAAAATATTTATTTAGTTAAAATTCAAATAAATGTGATTTACTGTTAATGTAGAATATTTACAACCGTGCAGAATATCCCTTTACCATATTATTCATAAAACATGAAAATAATGTTATATTTTTTCCACTTCTGGTATTTTTCTTGCATCAGAGTAATTTCACTGTTTTGCAGCTGACAGTCATCTTCTTCACCTGTAAACCCCTTTATTCATATAACGGATTTGCCATGTAAATTGTGATTTTCTAAAGATATTTTTCATTATGTTCAAATAAATTTTGAACAAAAAAAAATCTAAAAGATTGAAAAGCTGTAATTTTTTTATATGTTTTTAATAATAAAAATAATAATATACACAGAACAGTATAAAAGGTATACCTCAGGAGAAAATGGTTCATACTGGTTAAGTTTGTCTGGATCCTGGACAGCATGATCATAGCATTGCTGGAGTATATGTTTTAACAATGGAGTTGATGCCTTCGTGTTGATTAAACTGTTTGGTTTGGACGTCCCTTTCCACTGAAGAGAGAGAAAAAATCATCTATATGTTATTTTACCAACATCCTCAAGAATGTTACCTTTCTAAAACTTATTTATTATAATGAAATGAAAGAAAACCAATCAAAAGAAGCAACATTATCTCTGTGTGAGTACTGAGAGTGGAGGAGTATTATAGGATACACCTACACTATATCAAACCTACATATCCATTCACTACATACAATATCAACACAAGAACAAAATTGTAATATCTTAGCTACAATAAGATGAGTGAAGAAAAAGTTCTGTCACCAAATACAGGATTGGTATTGGTATCATTGAGGAGAATGGTAAAATACATTGTCTCAGATATCACAAATGTCTGTCACCAATGTATCAAGACAATAAGTGTGTTGGAAATCAAGTCAATTTGACATAAAATTTCAAGGTTTACCTAGAACACCTTTTCAAGTCAATTAGACATAAAAGTTTACAGTTTACAAATATAACTGTAATATCAAACTAGTCTCATTTTAGTTGTGATAGAAGGACTAAATATCATTTTCTACGTTATCAATGTATTCAATTTCAATATATGTCTCTCTAAATTGAAACTTAGGAATGTTTTTTCCTCTTTCAGTCTTTAAATTAAAGATGATTGCTTCCCAAATTTTAAGCTTAGCTATTGTTTCTCGTAAAATAAGCAACAATATTTCTTTAATTCTGCATCTACGGAACTATAGAAGAATTATTTTAACAAGAATTTGAAACTGTAATGTTTAAGCAGAAAACCAACAAACAAGAGAATGACCTTGTTTCCATCTAAATAACACTTATTTTAAATGGTATACAAATAGAAAAGTGTAAACTGACATTTGAAATGTGTTAACAAGAATATGGCACCTATTTCATAAAAAAAACCCCACTATTTCAAACATTTCTTGATAATGTTGCTAACTAAGAGTTGTAAGTACTTCAATTCTATGTAATAAAACAATGCTTTGATACTTTTACTTTTGATAAGGATCTTTATACAAGTATCTTATTAATTTTGTATTTAAAGGAAGAATAGTTGAACAGCTGTTTAATGTCAATTAATTTGCATAAAAATGTATGTATACAATTTAGTTTCTTATTATAAGATTTGCAGCTGGTCGTCTTCTTCTGATAAACAGTAGAAGAGTTTTATGTCTATACCAGTGAAAATGGCACCTACATAATATCAATCTCCACACAGTGATCTCCCCTTAATTCTTCGGCGTAGATCTCTGCCACCAAGGTCCCGATATATCAGAATTTCTGATATACTATATTTTTTCAAAAATTGTTTTATCTACTGCTTTTATCTATCAGATAAGTTTTCTCTCATTTATTTAACAATGTTTATGAATAAATAAATAAATAATATGAATATTTAGAAATAATTTTAAAAGTTATGAGATTATTTTCTACCGAGACGATATTTTGATATTTTATATTTTTTAGCTTTTGAATTTATTTTTCGTTATTTTGTATACTTTCGATAATTTTTTGATAAACTATATCGAATGTAGGCACCAAAGGTTTAAAATAAAACAGAAAGAGAAAAATAACGTTAGATTTTCTTTGTAACGGTCGATATTTACATTTGAATTTCGACGTTACGTCATGTGACTTTCATCATCATGTGACGTCTTTGAAGGCAGTGATTACAATTCTGCCAAGGGAGGTAATCACTGTGAGGAGTTTGACATAATATATGTGGTCATAAGTATATACAGTCCCAGCAGACAGTTTCCTAAGTTATAATATTTAAAACCTGTAATATTGCTAACCCTTAGTCTTTCCTTATTTTACAGTAAGTTCATGCTAACTTTTATACAAGTATCTTCACATACTTCATGCTATATATCGACAAATATCGACAATACACCAATATCAAATATAACTACTAATGACTTCAGTTAAATACATGGTCTGTTCATACAATTCATGATGTGTCTTGGCTGATTTTTTTTTCTGACCACTATGATGAAATATGTCTATTACACAATAACAGGATATTATGAAATATGTCTATTACACACAATAACAGATATTATGAAATATGTCTATTATAAAATAACAGGATATTATGAAATATGTCTATTACACAATAACAGCATAGTTTTTTTTGCTTCTGTATATGTTTTGAGTGTATTTTTATAATTTCTAGTAAAAAAATTAGCCAAAATTACTGATTTTTCGAATGTGTATTGATTTTTGATCGACAAAATAATATATAGTACGTCAATAAAGTTTCTATCGATGACAGCTGTAACAAAGTGTTTGCTAATTTTTCTACATGTGTCTATTAACCACATTCAAAGTGAATACTAGTAACTTTGAAAGTGTCTACAATTATCAACTAGACCTATCACTGAAGGTGATTAATACCCCCACCAACAACTTTGACTTTTTGAAAAAAAAGTAGTCTGAAGAAAAATTTGAACACAAACTATCAACTGTGTACAAAGAAATATTTCAATTAATTGTAATCGCAACTGGGGTCTCGAAATAAGCTTGCTATACACCAAGTTTGATTACAATATCTCATTCCTAACTCTAGTTATTGTCAGGAAACCATTTTTTCTATTTTTAGTAACACTGTAACAGTGACCTTGACCCTAGGGGGTCCAAATGCAATACCAACCCAGGTCTTCATATAAGCTTCCTTATAATACACCAAATAAGATTACAATATCTCATTCCTAACTCTAGTTATTGTCCGAAAACCATCTTTCGTAACGGTGACCTTGACCCCAGGGGGCCCAAATGCAATACCAACCAAAGTCTTCATATAGGCTTGCTATACGCCAAGTTTGATAACAATATCTCATTCCTAACTCTTGTTATTGTCCGGAAACCATTTTTCTATTTTTAGTAACACTGTAACAGTGACCTTGACCCTAGGGGGTCCAAATGCAATAACAACCCAGGTCTTCATATAAGCTTCCTTTACACCAAATTAGATTACAATATCTCATTCCTAACTCTAGTTATTGTCCGGAAACCATTTGTCTATTTTTCCTAACGGTGACCTTGACCTTGACCCCAGGGGGTCCAAATGCAATACCAACCCAGGTCTTCATATAAGCTTGCTATACACCAAGTTTGATTACAGTATGTCATTCCTAAGACAAGTTATTGTCCGGAAACCATTTTTCTATTTTTAGTAACAGTGACCTTGACCCCAGAGGGCCCAAATGCAATACCAACCCAGGTCTTCATATAGGCTTGCTATACGCCAAGTTTGATAACAATATCTCATTCCTAACTCTAGTTATTGTCCGGAAACCATTTTTCTATTTTTAGTAACACTGTAACGGTGACCTTGACCCTAGGGGGTCCAAATGCAATACCAACCCAGGTCTTCATATAAGCTTCCTTTACACCAAATAAGATTACAATATCTCATTCCTAACTCTAGTTATTGTCCGGAAACCATTTGTCTATTTTTCCTAACGGTGACCTTGACCCCAGGGGTTCCAAATGCAATACCAACCCAGGTCTTCATATAAGCTTGCTATACACCAAGTTTGATTACAGTATGTCATTCCTAAGTCAAGTTATTGTCCTGAAACCATTTTTCTTTTTTTAGTAACAGTGACCTTGACCTTGACCCCAGAGGGCCCAAATGCAATACCAACCCAGGTCTTCATATAAGCTTGCTACACGCCAAGTTTGATAACAATATCTCATTCCTTACTCTAGTTATTGTCCGGAAACCATTTTTCTATTTTTAGTAATGGTGACCTTGACCTTGACCCCAGGGGGTCCAAATGCAATACCAAGCAGAGTTTCCACATAAGGTTGCTATATACCAAGTTTGATTACAATACCTCATTCCAAACTCTAGTTATCGTCCGGAAACCATGATGTGGACCGACCGACGGACGGACGGACAGACCAACCGACAAGCTGACTCCTATATACCCCCCCTAAACTTCGTTTGTGGGGGTATAATAAATTTCGTTTGTGGGGGTATAATAATAGTGTATGCTAACTTTTCTACAGTCTAAGGCAGTAGTGCATCAAACATGCTAATGTAATAAAGTTGGTTAGCATGACATTTGAAAGTGTTACCCAGTATGGCATATTTGCACTACAAGGAACCTGTTATGAGTTAGACACTGTTACAAGTTAGACACATAAGGGTAATTTGAGTGCAGGTTTTTAAAAATACATTAAGGGGGTTGTCTGTATGGCAAGATACTAGGTAACATATTTTAGTTACAGAAATTTAATACTTACCAATTGTAAGACACTGTCTATTGCTCTGTTGTACTTCTCACATAAACTTTTCATACTTTCATAACTGAAATAAAATACAGATATATAAGTGAACAGTGAAATTAAAATAGTACTGAATTACTATTTTAACAACTTTTGACAAATAGTTTTCATATTTAACACATTTGCATCTGGCCCCACTCTCTAATGTATAATAAACTGACTATTCTGATTGTATACCTACCAAACCTGCATAAGAATTTAAAGTTGTGTATTTGAATAAACAGCTGGGGGAATTATGACATACAGCTGGGGGAATTATGACAAACAGCTAGGGGAATTATGAGTTTTGACATATAGATGGGGGAATTATATCATACAGCTTGGGGAATTATGACATACAGCTGGGGGGAATAATGACATATAGATGGGGGAATTATATCATACAGCTTGGGGAATTATGACATACAGCTGGGGGAATAATGACATACAGCTGGGGGAATTATGACATATAGCTGGGGGGGAGAAATAATGACATACAGCTGGTGGGAATAATGACATACAGCTGGGGAATTATGACATACAGCTGGGGGGGGGAATAATGACATACAGCTGGGGGAATAATGACATACAGCTGGGGGGAATAATGACATACAGCTGGGGGAATTATGACATACAGCTAGGGGAATTATGACATATAGATGGGGGAATTATATCGTACAGCTTGGGGAATTATGACATACAGCTGGGGGGAATAATGACATACAGCTGGGGGAATTATGACATACAGCTGGGGGGGAATAATGACATACAGCTGGCAGTATTATGAGTATCACATACAGCTGGGGGAATTATTACACACAGCTGGGGGGAATTATGATATAAAACTTGCAGGATTATGACATACAGCTGGGGGATTTATGACATGCTGGGGAATTATGACATTAAACTACAGACGGGGGGGGGGATTATAACAAACAGCTGGTGGATTTAAAGTTACAAGGTTTCATTGCTTTATCTATTGACCTTGTTGATTTAACTACCTAATGAATACAATGACACTCATTTACTTGCTCATGTTCTGTATGTAAAATAGGTAGGTAAAAACCAGGAAGTTATTTATTCTTGTTTTAAGATATACAATACATATCAGAGAAAAAGGTTTATTATCTTTACTTAAAAATTGTTTGCTCTAAATAAACAAACCTATCTCAAGGAATTTAATACTTTACTCAATAAAATTAACCAAGAGGAATTCTAAATATATATACATGTATATATATATTAACAGTCCAGTCATATTCAAGTCAAGTAGAAACTGAAACTTATTCTTATATTGAATGGAAAGAGGTTTAACAAAATCACATGATATTAACCAATTACAATAGCAATCTTTGAATATTGTACACAATCTTTTTAGTTTCTATATAACAATTATAGCCTATTGAAATCCTTCTGAATGTTGACATTTGATTATCTCAAATAAATCTCAATAAATAATTTAAGCTTTCATTAAAGCCTCAACATGTATAAATGAAACATATCATAACATTTTTTTAGAGACATAAAACATTATTTAGTGTAAGTCATTACCTCTCTATATTATAAAGATTTAGGAAGACTATCTCAACAATGACAGTGCTTTTAACTCAGTCAAACCTCGATAAACAAGCAATTACCGGATGGAACCCCATCAACATTCTGAAGGGCCATTGGCCATTCACTAATGTTTTTACAGTAAATTTGTTGGAAAAGTTCTTTAAAAGTGATCACAGGAAACAGTTTTGTTGAAAAGACAGACGGACTGAAGGACACTTAACTCTAAATTTAATATTTGAAACATCCGTTACCAAAATATAACAATTTAAAAAGCAAAATTCTTAAAGAGGAGATAACTCTGGAATTAAAGATTAAAAAATTTTCAGCTCTTTTTGACTAATCACAAATATTGTTATATTTGCCATGTTTTAAGCCTATTTGTTGCCAAGGCAACCAATATTTTTTCAAAATAAGAACAGATAAGACATGCATAATCTCAAGACTGCCATCTACCCATATGTCAAGTTTCATAAAAATATTTCCAGTACTTTTTAAGTTATCACTGGATTCAGTTTATGTGTAAAATTTGCCATATTTTCAGTCTATGTGTTGCCATAGCAACCAGAATTTTCAAAGAAAAAGATGTGCATAATCTCAAGACTGCCATCTACACATATTACAAGTTTCATAAAAATACTTCTATTACTTTTTGCGTTAACACTGGATCCAGTTTATGTGTAAAAATTGCCATATTTTCAGTTTATTTGTTGCCATAGCAACCAGAATTTTCAATATAGGAAGAAAATAAAAAGACGTGCATAATCTCCAGACTACCATCTACCCATATTTTAAGTTTCATAAAAATATATCCAGTACTTTTTGCGTTATCACTGGATCCAGTTTATGTGTAAAATTTGCCATATTTTTAGCCTATTTGTTGCCATAGCAACCAGAATTTTCAACATAGGAAGAAAAGAAAAAGACGTGCATAATCTCCATACTGCCATCTATCCATATATCAAGTTTCATAAAAATATTTTCAGTACTTTTCAAGTTATCGCGGGATCCAGTTTTGTGGACGGACGGACTGACGGACTGACAGACAGACGGACAGACAGACAGACGGACGGACAGACAGACGGAGGGTAAACCTAAAGTCCCCTCCGGTAAACCGGTAGGGGACTAATAAACTAAACTTTCATATCAAAATTAACACCCAAAAAAACTATTTGTATTTCTAAATGAATACAAAATTAAAATTCAGAAATAATTTCAATTTCATTTAATTCATTTACTGTACTGAATACCGAAACAGAGGATATTTGTTGAAATGTAACACAAAGTTAACAGTAGATACAATAATGCAAGTGAGAAAGTAACTACTGGCATTCACAAGTAAAATATAATTTACTCTAACATGCAAAACAAACAAATTTTCAATTAATTTCATGACAAAACAATTTTACTGATTTTTTAGACATATGACACATGCAAACCCCCACTTTGTGATGACATCAAATGAAAACATTGCAATGTTCATGTTGAAATATAAGTCTGTAAAATTACTTTAATTTTGTAACTATTCAACATGATGTGTGCTACCAGTAATAATAAACATATTCCTTAAAATGGGTTGTAATTATAATCATATTTATATGCTTTTCATAAGCATACAAATACATGTACAGTTAGACTTGAGTAAAATTATATTTTGATTATTTCTTTTTCTACTGAAAAGTATTAAGTAATTTTCCATTTCATTTACATCTTGATAACTTGATAGAAATGAACAAGATCTCTGCAGATGTATGACCATTCTCCCTATCCCAGTATGAAGGCAGCACATGTAATAGTTCTCAAAAACTTCAGCTAACACATGTCAAGACAAGCACCATTCTATAGTAATTCTTCAGACATATAAAAATGAATGTATGAGGAAGATACCTGGTTGTGTCATAGTTTTTCAGAATGTTTCTATTCAAAGCTTGTTCCAACTCTGGTATCTCTGCACTCACCAATCTGAAATATAGTTAAAACATGCAACATAAAGCATCAATTAATATGCATATATTAGTCAATGACCTGTAAATCACTGATCAACAAAGATAAATGAAGTATTTTATAATGAAGAAGCTATAAAATGGACTCCTAATGTACTCCTCTGAGGGTTTTTGAATCACTTGATGAAAGTCTGGACTAATTACTTACAATGCAAAATGACCCATAATTGAAAAGCTTTAAATGCTTTTCACTCAAATCAGACTAAGAATCACAAAAAGAAATCAATTTTCAATTTAATTCTGTGTATATCTCTTCATTATTATTGGCATATTTGTCCATTTTAAGTGTTCAAGTTGATCAATGTAAGGACTTTTAACTTTTTATGTGTTTGGACCTTATTGGAACCCCTATATCAGTTAGCTTATTCAAATTGGTAGACAGACCAGTAGTTCTATCCAGGTGCTCATAACATGTGACTTTAATTTCAATCAACAGGGAAAAAATACTTGATAAAAGCTTCTTTTTTAAAGCCCACAATAGGGGTACCACACAATAGTGCTTGCTTGAACTTAATAAATATGTTACCAGGAAATCTAATCTCCAAGATGACAACTCTTATTTGAATAGTAACATTTATTTAATTATATCAGTTATAGTGAATACAAGTGGGTGTGAGGGAATAACTGTAACAAAATCATTTTAATAATAATAAAAAAAATAAATACATATTAAAACGCTATGACAAAAACTAATGTCTTTAAAATTTAAATACTGACAGAATATGGTGAATTAAATAGTAACATAGCTGATTTTATAATATTAAATAAGGAGTCAACATGTATCAAGAATGACTTTCCTAAATGACATCAGTAGCGTAAACCTGATGTAGCAATTATTATCAACAATGTTATGTTTCTACCATCGACAAGACATGTATATGGTACATGTAGAATTAATCAATGAGTATCTGATTTATAAATATAGACAACTGTTATAATTATCAACTATGACATATAACTATTCTCTTGTGTGTACCTCTATTACAAAATTTTCCCCTGTAATTTTCATACAATTTGCATGTTCTATTGATAATTCAGCAAACCCTTTGTTGCTCCAATGTTACAATATGTAACAGTGCTAATGTACAATCATGCCATGTTAGTTTGTTCATAACAAAAAGTTAATTCAAGTTACTTAAAATAATGAAATTAATTTAATAGTTCCAAAAATATAAATAACTCTACCAGTCTTATTCTATGGATTTGTACTTCACAAATCATATTAAGTTTAAGTAAATGTTACAGTAGATAAAGATCTTCATGTATAACTTATATGATGTTGAACTGATACTAGTTCAATCATTCAGTTATATAACTTTTATTATAATGTCATGATCAGTTAACCTTCACTATGCTATTAGTATTGTAAATGATACTTTCAATATGAACTTAGGATTTCCAACATCAAATATTGAACAATGCAAACCATGGTTAAATCTGTTTCTCCCAGCAGACTCTGGGTAACAAGAATTATATGAGTATATGATGTGATAATAAAAACTCTTTGTCACCTGTATAGAATATCTGTATATTTTAGTATGTTGACATTGAAATATATCAATATAAGAGTCAACAGTTTAACATTTCAAGCAGGACAAGTCAATTCTGTATTCCTTTGAGTAAAGAATATGAAATGATTATGTACTTTGTGACCTAAAAGAATGCTGACTGTTTGAAACATGATAATAAAAGCGTATAGAACCCTCTGACATGAAAATCAATAAGGTCTGCGGCATGAAACTCCAGTCTCAGCCACTGCTTTTATATTATTTATGTCTTGCCCATTTTGTTCTAAATCAAGGCAGTTAGTTATGACAAAAGAAATTACTTCCACAGAAGTTAACAGCTAATTGCTGACTTAATCATTTAGATGAAGGCCAATATTTTGAAGTATTTATTATATTTCATACTGAAGAGTCACAAGTCTTTGGTCTGAATTAAATGTATACAGAATTATAATGCAAGGGTGACCCTATCTCATTAAGCTTTATGAAAAGTAGGATAATGTTTTACAAGCGACTCTTGCATATTTACGGGTTGTTTTTTTTGTTGTTTTATCTCTCTAAACATTTATTATAACATGATTATGTATCCTAGATTGTTATTTAAAGTATTTTTTCAAAAGAAGTGAAACTTTTATTCATGTTTTCAGGCACATTTATTTACCTGAAGTATATAGGTCAGTCACCAAAGTATTAAAATATCATGCCCTAAAAATACTACAAAGTAATTTACTGTAAGGTCAATAACCCTATAGATAAACATAAAATGAGGCCAACTGACCTATTGGCCATTAACCAGATGCACTGAAAGTATGAAAAACCTGATAACTGTAGTATTGATCTCAAAATCTATGATTTTTCTAGCTACATCTATGAGAAATTAGTGACTACTGCATTGTATAAAATAGCAGGTTTTCATAGGATATTGGGATACAAATAACAAAAGGCTGAATAGGATACAACCAATAAAAGGCTTTTATGGTCCATATCTGTCATTGAAGAGATAAATGCTTAATTAAAACTGAGATTTACACTGTATTTTTTGCTTCAACTTAAACTTTATAGTTATACAAGCACTTCAAGCAGCAATATGACAGCTGATCTAATTCATCATTTTAACACTTACAATACATATATGTTATAGATCAGCTTAAAATCTTTAAGTAAGCCCCAACCTATATTTCCCTGAATAAATCAATATTAACATCTTCCACACACAACTTAGTATTTACTTGTTAACATAATTATACAGAATGCCAAGTATTCTTCAGTCCAGAAAATGAGTGCGCTCCAAGACCCTCCCTGACATACATGTACCCTTTCCCAATCATCCCGAAAAGACTGACAGGTAAGTTAGGGCCATGTCTCTGTGAGAAATCTTAATAAAAGTGACCAATAAAAGTTTAGATGTGATGACTATTTAATTCAGTGTCAGTTAAACTTTCATGAAAAATGAGACATAAGATACCAGACTAGTGACAATGTTATCTGCAGTTACAGTTAACAAATGACCTATATTATTTTAACTAATACCCCAGATATTTAGATTAGGATTAGAAATGCATCTTGTTTCAAGACTAAAACATAATATAGAGACATGGCACATACACTTTAATATAAATTACATCAGTAAATTTCATATCATGTATCAAAACATTTTTCACTTTCACTTTTTGCACACTTGAGTAACAATTACCTGTTGCATTTTCAATACTTAAGACCTTATAGTTTAGTACATTCATAAAAAATGACCCAAAGGTGATAAGTCAATCACATTATTTTTAAACATGGGTTATCAAATTAACAGTTAGACAATATTGTAATTCTTTATTGCTAATATGGGTTTCTCTATATTATTTCTAACATTTTAAACATCTCCTTATACTTATAGCAACTTGTGATGTTAATAGCCTTCATCACAAAATATTCCCATTTAGGCATGTATACATAATTTATATGCAACTTTCCCCGGTAGACACCTTTTATTGTTGTTAAAGTAATAAAAACTATTTCCTGGCTTGTACCTCCTACATCAAAGCATGTATTAATGTAGGTGCTTCATTCCTCATATAATCATGATTTTGTAGAACCAGATGTCAGAAAAGCAGGTAGTTCATCTCAACCAATTATGCATCAAAAAACGTATATATAAATATATCAAGTAAACTATAGTTAAATATAGATTTTGTAGACAGCGAGCATTGATCCATACATATAGGTCACTAATGTCATATATCTAGGTCAATTATTAACCAGGAGTACAAGACAGGGAAAAAAAACCTTAATACAACAGAATGTGTAACATTTAAACAGGAAAGAAAAGCTTTAAACAAAGTAATAGTAGGAGTATAATAGGAAACAAGAAACACACTTTGTTTATTTATAGAATGATTACGCACATGCAGCAATATTGAAATACTACGAGGGGAGAGGCTGTTGTGGTAGTGACGCAATCACTGATTCAATGAATTAAATCTCTTTATTACTATTGGGGGAACATTTCTAATTCAAGTGGGATTTCATATGTAAAAACTTGTGACAATAACTGGGTGACAGTAAGGTAAAAATCAAAACATCTTTCAAAATAAACTGTGTGGGCTTAGATAAATTCAAAATTTACGTATCAATCTGTGTGTTAGTAGTGTAAAAAGTATTTAAACATTTTATTTATAATTTTGAGAATTTGCTGTCCACAATAACAGAAGGTAAAACATGTGGCATTAAATTTTTTATAAGAGATCAAATTTACAAGTCATTTTCACAGTGATTCTATTTGAAAGAGAGAGAGAAAAAACAACCGAAACCCTCCTCCCTTAGATTCACTTTTGCATGTTGCATTCAATTTAATAGCTTTACAGTTTTCACTCCTGATCGCTGGACTACATAGTAAGTATCATATTGTAAACATCTATAAGCCCAACTATAAACCCACAGAATTATAAAACCCTACGGCAATTATGCCTTAGAAAAGCTTTAATTCTTATTTCTAAAAAGCTTTTTATTCCTTGTGTTCAGCTATAGTTTCCAAAAAGTGAGTCTGACTCATTGGCCAATTACCTGAACCAGCTTTTGCTTCTGCTGCATTTTGGTAATTAGTTAGAATATAGTGACCTAGTGTTTTCAATGGAAGTTAAAATACTACTTTGATTACATTTTTCTACTTTAATAACAAATAGCTTCACATTTAGCATTACTTTCTGCAAGTGATAATTATATAAAATGCTCTAAAACCATTATAAAACTCATTTTGCCTTTTCCAAAGAATAAAAAAAATTTTCTTCTGAGGAATAATGAGCCTCCTACATTAAAGTTTAAACAATGTTAAGAATTTAAGCTTAAAATATTTACAAACTTGTAATTCAGAATGACTTGCAACTATTGTTATCAGCGATCTGTTAAAAAAATCTCAAGTTTACAGTGAACATTAAAAATATTTGTAAATACTAAATAGTACTATATACTTATCACTTCCATTAATTTTAAATGATGACAATCAGTTATAAGTATAATAGAAGAAACCTTGACTGAAATATATTAATAATGTACCAAGTACCAAGGGTTACTGATACCCAGCCGAATCAGGAAATTCTGAATAACATCTTTTTTTTTATGGATGTCTCCCCATTCAAAATAGCTTAGCAATGAAAAAAAAATTCTGAGTAACAACAAATTTCAATTCAAACGATATTTTGTTTTAAAAGCAATATGAATATAACCAGACTTGATTGGTCAGAAGTTTAGTCCATAGCAACACTATTTCTTTCAATTGCCCTTCTAAGTGAAATAAGATGACAGCCACTGTACATCAATGTATGAGATTACTTTTTACTACGAAAAATATGAATTTAATTGGCAAGTGAAGTGGCAAAAAAAATACACCAGTAAAATAACAACTTGTATATAAATAGAGTTCGGAAAAAAGTTTATTTACTATCAAACTTACGAGTCCTTAATTCTATCACTACGTGCTGTGAACAATCACATGACCAGGCAACAGTACAGATTGTCACCGATGCATGTCTACACAGGTCATACGCTCACAGATCTCCAGTCACAAGGAGTAGTTCCTAAAATGTTTTGGATGAGTAACACCAAATAGACTATTCTCCGGCTAAATCTATCAAAAGCATCCGGGGACCGACCCAGACGGTTATGGATCAGAATACGACTCTAACCTCGACAAGAGCGTCAGTTGCTAAAATGAAATGTTGTGATGATTGTCCAAAGATTTAACGAGGTTATTATCAGTAAGCATGTTCAAGTGACTATGACTTCAATATAACATTCTCATGAATGTATGAAAACATTCAACCATGAAAAAGAGTCATGTATGAATGAAACAATCTAGTCCACAAGACATTTAAGACCCACTATGCCCAAGAAATACTTTTATTTCTCATTTTATATTTTTTGGTGTTCTGATAATTAGTTTCCTAAGTTACTCATTGGCCAAATACCTGACCATGTTTAGCTTCTGTTGCTTAAAGGCAATTAGTAGTGATAATATATATATTGGCAGTCTAGTATTTTGTATGGAACTAAAAATACTACTTTCTTTACATTTTGCTACTTTTATAACAAATAATTTCACAAGCGGCTTTACTTTCTTCAGGTAAAATGCATTCAATCTGCTCTAAAACCATTTTTAAAGGGAGACACAGGCAAAATTTTCATTTCTTAGTTTTGAATTTTTCGTTCCTAATTCTGTAAATGTCCTCAAAATAAATATATTAGACAGTCAGTCAGGAACAAAACTTTTCTCCATATAAAGAATAAAATGGTGGTTTCCTAACCTGACCCGCGTGGGTCAGGTTAGAGCGCTACAATTTCACAATAGTTGTCACAGTGAACTCTGGAAACGTTAAAGAACATGTCAAATGAATGATTTAGGTTTGTTTCAATCATACAATATCCACAGTACCTGTTAATGTAACTTCAACTATTTGTTCAAGTCACCTGACTTGTTTTAAAATTATTCGGTGATTCTATTGGCGTCTAAATTTTGTTCAAGATATATAGATATATTTATGCTTCAAATCCAAAATATATAGAATATTAAATGTAATTTTAGCGCGAGTTGAGTACAAAAGATCATTATAATATTTTTGTCATTATTTTGCTTGAATATCCCTTTAAACATTATAAAACTTATGTTTGCCTGTCACTAACAAGAATTTTTTTTCACCAGTTTGGGAACTGTTGACTGGATCAACCACCAGAATTGAGAATTTTGCATCATTTTAGATAAAATTGGGAAAACACCCACTGTATAACACAAATCAAATAAAACAATCAGATGAATTTTTTTTCAAACAATCAAATTCTTGTATACTTCACTGAAACAATCTAACAATATTTATTTTTTAATTTCCTTAGTTTTCCTTGAATCAGAATATGTAAAAAACATGTTTAGATCAAGAATACTGATAAGTCATGACCAAATATCGGTTATAAAAATGGGCTACCCCTAATGAAATCCTGAACAATTATTTAAAAATGACCGTGAAGTGGGAAATAGAGGCTGCAACAAGACCTAGATTTTTAAAATCGCAGAATGCCACAGATGCCGGCAAGTCATAGGTTTGAAGAGTTTAAATATTTTACATTTTGTTTGATCGGGTTTAACGTCACGCCGACACAGTATCTATAGGTCACATGGCGACGCTCCAGCTTAACTGGTGGAGGAAGACCTCAGGTGCTCTTCCACGCATTATTTTACATGATGTACATACAAGTTCTATATGATGAATAAATATCCTCTTTTTTATCATTACTGAAAGTGACATTCATAGTCAATAAAATAGCTAAACAGATCTATGACTATGTAGGCCTATGCCTACTTATAGCAAAGGCCATTCTATATTTTTATAAAACAAAAATTTAGACAATTAAATTTAAATGTAACTCATAAATTGCCAAATACAAAAAAACTGTAAAAGGTATAACATGAGTATTCAAATATGTAGATGAAAATACAAACATGATATTAATCACATTTGTTCTCAAGTTGTATTTTCACCCTTCTGAGGCCCCAAATATACAGGAACATGGCGATCAGCGATTTTAAGAAGAAAGGAAATTTCATTTAGTTCAAACAATAACTTAAAAAGAAATAAAACTTACTTAATGGTATCAATAATTTCTTGGGCCCCATCTTTATCATCCTGAAAAATAAATTACACATTTTACAGTCAAATTTGTAAAGAAATCGTCAAAGAAATTGAGACTATTGTCACGGTCCAAAGAATAATTTGGCTTACCGACGAAGGTATCGGCCACGTGTAGACAACTGGTTCCGACCCGACAGGGCTATGTAACTTTAATTCTTGCGCCATAGTGTATACTTTCGGTCTGTACTTGTTGATTTCGTCAATTCTGATGCGATCGTTCAGGATTTCCCATTTTAATTCACGACTACTTCTGACCTACATTCCAGGCCGACCCTCGATGCCCACGCATATCGGGGAAAGCCGCTTCGTCACGTGCCTCTGTTGCTTTCCTCTGATTGGACACCTCGCTGTCAAATGGGGGTACCACGGTTCGCGGCGGCTGCTTTCAAAACAATGAAATTGATACATTAAATTTGGAACAGTAAACACACATGTCCTGTTGGTTTTTGGATCACTTCATATCGCATAATAATGGTAACTTATATTTTTACATACATCTTCTTCACCAACCATACAAAGCATGGTATACATACATTGTTTAATTTATCACATATTTTCGCGATACGAGTGCACGATGAACAAATTTTTATCATGTTATTAAAATGATTCCATTGGTAAACAGTCCTAGAAAGGAAACCTTTACAAAACTATGCAACGAAGATAAAAAACTCCACCATTTTGATCTTTTAGTACATTATCATAAGCATTATCTAGATAAAACATTTGTTGGACAAGTTTCATAAATGGGGCTCTTCCACTCTTGCCTATCATTTAGCCTAATTGCTCAAACACATTTTCATACATAAGCGCATATATGATTTATATTAATTTATATCATATACTGTTAATTTATATCATATACTGTATATTATAGATCATTGCCTGCAGTCATAGCTGTATTCTTGGTCTTCTAGTATGAGCACAAAATGAAATAATATTGATTGATTGATTGAAGTTTAAACTGTAGGTCTTAATATTAACTGCAGGTTGCAGTTATAATAGAAAAAGCCTAGATAAAAATATGCTATTTAGTGACGTTTTAGTTCAATGGTGTTGGAAGCTATAAGCTTGTTGAAACACTCTCAAATCCATTCCTGGAACCAGCCAGTACTAAGCAATGAAGGTAAAGTTTCTTGTTCAAGGAAACAAAGGTTTGACCCTGACAGGGTTTGAACCCATGCGGTCAGCAATCCTTAGATTACTAGTCCTACGTGTTAACCACTCGGCCACACCACCACTTAGAGTAAGAGTTTAGCAATTTACCAAATGCCTAATACAATTGTAAAGGATGAATATTCTAGAAATACATGTATACCCAAATTGCAATAATCTTCAAAGATAAAGGGATGTTGATTTTTTTAAGTTATTGAAAATTTTATGAATGTTCCCCTGTCAAACAGGTCTAAAATATTTACTTAAATAATTTTTTTTATATATATTAAGCATAATTATGCCTAGGATATAACTATATTTACCCATTATGGACTTTGTTGATTCTTATTTCAGCGACGTTCACATGCTCCTAGCCAACTGGGTTTGATGCCTAAAAGAAAATCTGATGAATTCGGAGATGCTGAAGTAAGAAAGGAGACAGGATGCAATAGGGTACAATTCATAAAACAATTTGTTTACAACAAGCAGTATTTAAAACTTCTGTTTTAGGTTTATATCAAAAATCAAATGAAAATCACATAAAGTACTGGTAATGAATTTCTAAACTATACACTTGTGCTTCTTATAAATGTGCTTTTAGATTTATAAATTAAAGGTCATTGAATGATTTTATCCAGACCATTTTTTATCATCATTGCTGTGAAATATTTCCACTATCTAACAACAGATAATGTTAGACATGGACACCTGCTTCTGTATATGTTTTAGGTGAATTTTCCTAATTTCTAAACATTTAATCAATAAGTCAAAATTATAGATTTTTTTAAATGTGTATCCATTATCGATTGTCAGAAAAATATCAACCATACATCGATATTGTTTTTATTGATGACAGCTCTAATTTATACCTTATTGGAAATTTGAATTTATGTTATTTAAAGGTATATATAGGAAAAATAAAAATTGTATAATTATATAACTGTGCTTGACCTTAGTCTAAGAATAAAAAAACAGAAACATTTTAAGCTACACCAAGTTTTTTTTAGTCATATGTCCTTTATTTTGAAAATTTTGGTCTTTTCAATAGCAGATAATGCACAAGCTTAATAAAGGTCAACAAAGCCTTATTTTGTCTGCATTTCATGTAATGCAGTTGTTTTAGATGACTGGCATAACATCAAGAATTGGTTGAGAGTAGTTTGTTTGATAGTCTCCAACCAGTTATATCAGAGGGGATTATGTGCCACTCATTATCCATTTGTTATTTTGTCTGTCAAAAGAAATGTGGATCCCACCATAACTCAAAAAGTGCAAAAGCTTGGTTAATTTTGCTTTGTAAATAGACAGAGGGCCTTAAGTAGATTATATACATCATTTTAAATTTATCATCTGTCTGTCTGTAATTCTGTCAGTTCAAAGAAATCTGGATCCTGCCATAACTGAAAACACTTTTGCAGAATTATTCCCCCTTTTCTATTATACTTTTTACTCAGGTGCCCGTTCGTGCCTGAAATAATGCACGGAAGGGCACCTGAGGTCTTCCTCCACCAGTAAAGCTGGAACGTCGCGATATGACCTATACTGTGTCGATGTGATGTAAAACCCCAAAAAACAAACAAACTATTATACTTTTATTGTACGAAAAAATAGAGGGTGATATCTGCTATATTTTCTAATTTTCTCAAAGGTGTGATATGTTGTAAAGTTTATAAACGGGCAGTGAGTAAGAAGTATGTCGCCCCTTACCCTGTTTGCTTCCTCTTTTTACAAACTCACAACTAGTTTTTTTTACAAACTAACAACTAGTTGCTAAGAATTATAAAAATTTTCAAAGGTTGTATGTCTCAGTATAGTCATTCATTAGCTTCCATAGCCCTTGTCAGCAGGTCATGTTACATAATATTATGCTCAAGACTGTTTAATTGACTATATAACCTGTCAAATATTCAATTCTGATAATATGCAGTGGAATATTTGCTGCATAAATATTGTCATCATAAAGTTATTTTGTGCATATGTATTTTTTACACTATTTTTTTTTTTGCGGGGGGGGGGGGGATAATTTCGTATACATATTGTTATAGTACAGGTAAATACTATCTGTTTAAACAAAAAAATGTAACACATTGATATTTTAATGTTATGTAAACAGTTATGTCAATACTAATATCAAATTCAAATTGAATTCATGTGGAATGATCATGAAATTTGATATACAGAGATATTTGAAAGGGGATATTCACCAGTACATGCATGCTTCTACTGTTTATAGGCCTGTTTAAAAAACGGGTCTTATCATGAGATTGCCTTATGGTGGATGGCGGGTGTTGTTCAGTTTTTTCCAGAGCATACAGTGATTTTTCTCTCTTCATTGGGAAGAGGTCTTAGTCACTTGATTTTGCTGAAATTGCTAATTTGGGAAGTAAAAAAGCAGGCGTAAGTTCAGATTTTTGGCAAAACTGCATGATTTTAAAGAAAATATCAATTGGGAAGAGGCCTTTTATCGGAGTCTGTTATATAAGCAGGAAAATCACTGGCATATTTTCTATATGCATTGAGAGATTCAAGTGCTTCTTGAATAGGGTCATGGTCAAAACTACTACATATGTATATGCAGGTTTTGATGTAAAAAATACACATAATTATTATTCTCAAAAAAATGTTCACAATCATGAGACTGTTACTAACATAATCTATAAGAAAAAAATGACAATGCATGTATGAACTATTGTATTTTGTCATGAATTTATGGATTCATGTGACTGAAATATTTTTAATGGGCACTGGCACTCTTGTTCAGTATATGTTGGCTCATTTTATGCTCCTTGGATTAAATGAACTCTTTGCTCTATGACAAATGCATATTGCTATATGACAGTGTCATCTTAACTTTTAAAATATTCTAACTGCCAACTTTTCAGTTTACTGCGATTTCGACTAATCATGTACGTGTGTATATATGCATAGTGGGGAAATGCAATTACATCATTAAATACTACATGCTTAAAGCATTGTGACAACTGCTTTATGACCAAGTACTCATGTTGTTAGTTTGCTTGCATGAATGTAATATTTTAGTATGGAACTTTTTAACTGGCACAGGCACCAAGTGTGATGTAACATGCAATCATTTACAAATTTTTCGGATATGTAGATAGCTCAGTGTCAATGAAAACAAACAAACAAATAAAGTGACTGATATTTAAAGAAAAAAAAGTATCAGTATGTTTACATAATAACCACTATTGCATAATGTTATCAGTATACATGTACATGTATTATCAAATGAACCATCCAGGTATATAGATAATGCTCTGTGTTATCAAAAATTTGTTGTACATGTATGTGAGAAGGAAATCAGCATGTCAAATAATTCAAATCTTAAACATCCAGAATTAGGTTATACAAATTTATTTTAGTTTGATTGTGTTGAAAGCTATAAGCTTATTGAAAGTCTCGAATTGTTCCTGGAACCAACCAGTACTAAGCAATGAATGTAAAGTTTATTACTCAAGGAAACAACGGCTTGCCCCTGACAGGGTTTGAACCCATGTGGTCAGCAATCCTTAAATTACTAATCCGACGCATTAACCACTCGGTCACGCCGCCACTAGAATTGAGGCTAGATCTAGATTTTGAGTAAGAGTTGAACTGAATGTGGAATTTATAGAACTTACAGTACCGCTTTACAATATTGAAAATAATATTCAACAGTTAACATCAATATTATTTTTTATGAACCTGAAGTTCTGTACATTTTTAAATCATGCTAGTCTACTACTTCTCCCAGTGCCTTGGTATTTGCACACATGAGTATTGTTGCAGTGACACCCTATCAGGGGTACGATTCGCTTCCCGTACCTCATATTCCTCAGGTTTTTTTTTTGCACAGACCTATGCCCAGTCAAGTTGGTTCAAGAAAATCGATTTAGACAACTTTTAAAATCTGGTAAAGTCTTTTTTCTTTGACTTAAAAGGAAACATCGGAAAAGAAGAAAAATGGGAAAGGAACAGAGTGAAAATAATTATGTTTACTCAGAAAGTAATGTTCATAATGTAAAAAGCATGACATGCTGTATTTAATAGTGTAATCTTATTTTCGCACTGTGCAGTTGTACTAAATCAGAAGTGTAAATACATTTAGCAGTATGCATTTTCAATTTTAAGATGTAATTGTCGAATGAAAGTGTGCATTTATCATTAGTCAAGAAAATATGGGCTTAGTTAACATATAATTAAAAAGAAGCAACTGGTGGATATCCCATTCCATAACAGATAAATAGATAAATGATTGTTTTAAATTATTTTATAGTATACTCAACATCACTAATTCTGCGTCATCACTTATTTCACGGTAATGGCATATTTTCATGTGACCAGTGTTAAAATTGGTCGGAATTGACATATTTTATTCAAACACCTAAACAACAAAGCTTATGTGCAAAATATTTTAAATCTATAGATTTTTACGTAAAACAGAACAACATTTTACAAACTTCTGCAAAAAGCAACAATAGTCCATTAAATTTGTGCATATGTCTGAAACAATCATCATTTTCTAAATGTTCTTGTTTGTTGAAAAAATAAATTTTGAGTTACAATGTAAAGATACTTTTAGTATTTAAAATTATGCAAAATAACATGTAGAAATTTTAACTGAAACATGAAAAAACTGAAATAAAACACCATTACCTCGATTTAAATGATGATAATTATACTGTTTTTAACATGGCCGACATATGGTTTACGTCTGGCTCATTTAAAATGATTTCGACTAAGTATATTGTTGTTTCCTTGTGTCATACAGCAAAAAATACCTATATGTTATAGCTTATGACAATTTTTGTACCCTAAGTTTCATGTGTTGTTTCTTTCTTGCTTCAAAGCGTTAAGTACTGTGAACTAAGAGGAGCACAGTATAGTTTGAAAAAATATGTCTTAAAGATTATTTTGCATTTTCAGACCAAAAAGCATTGCACATTAGATGTTGGCAGTCCACAACAATATCTTTCACCATTTAGAAAACCATTAGAGAGTATACAGAATGTCCCTGATAAAACAGCTACTGGCTTGTCTAGTCATGTAAGTAAACTAGATAACTCTTCTTATTATTTCAACTGAGTTAGTCATGGATTAACTCCCTTCATTTCATCTTTATGTACAATATATGAATATTTTATTGTTTACAACAAAAGTGTTTAAGAAGTATACTTTTAGTTAATTTTCTTTTGTTCTATTTGTGTTCATGAAATTTTACTTAAACAAAATCATGCCTTTTGAATCGCATAGATAATGTTTAGATTGCTATTTGAAGGTTGAATTACAAGACCTTATTTCTATCAAGTATTTTATTGATTCAATTTCAGGAAGCATTTATAAGAAAAATACTCTCTAAACCATTTAAAGTACCAATTCCAAATTACACAGGTGAGTAATTGTCTGGTGTAACATATATCTAGTGTGAATTAATAACATGGCTACTTCCCAGAAAGGTGTTTGACATTTTCAAGAATAACTAGCATGTGTGCCAGGGCATAAATTAAACAAAAATGGAAACCTCACAAGGTAAACCAGTATGAGAGAATTGAACATGTTGCAGATTTGATTAAATTTAGCCTGTTTATGGATGTCAGTGGGAAATGCAAGTTACTGCCAAACACCTAGAAATTAGAAAGCATCTGCAGATGTGTTTATATGGTTGTGCTTATGAAACCAATATAACACTTCCAAGCCATTCCTTGAAGTACAGCTATAAACAATAGCTTCCCCAATCCTCCCCTTCTATTCCTTATGGCAAAAAAAGCAGTCAAAATATTCCAAGTATTATTCATCATTTGGCTGTTTTTGAGACCCACACTCCCTGACTTTACTTTTTACCTTATTTTATGGCTAAAAAGAATTCATAATATGGCAGGTTTTGTACATTGTCAAAAATGGTAAATAACAACAACTTAAAAGCTTTAAATTTGTTATCCTTGGCTTATTTTTCAACTATTTTTCCTAATACTGTTTCTGAAATATGGACATTATAAAGCTTATGAGTACAGTAATAAGTTAAATAGAAAACAATTTGTATATGTTTTCACATTCTGCAGGATTTTCATGTTTTTAGAGATAATATACACCAATAGCTAAACAGAAAAATTCTACCTCAGTTGTTTATTGCTTTTTCTAAATTTGATATTTTTTTAGGTTCCTCTTTAAACAAAGCATTAGGAGTAAGAAGACAGGGGGCAAGACAACCCTTACATGACCCCTTTGAAGATGGTGCACTTGTTCTTTATATACCACCAGAGTTGTCTGCCCATGACCAACTTAAAATTGATGTGTAAGTTATCTAAGGATCTGAAGCTGTTTTGGTTCAAACCCTGTCAAGGGCAAACTGTTGTTTCCTGGAGCATGTAATTTTACACTTATTGCACAATACTGGTTGGTTTCCAGGAACAGATTTTAGAGTGTCTCTATAAGCTTATCACTTCCTACACTAGAACTAAAATATATTTTGTATAGACTTAACTATGTCAGTGGTTCAACATAAATGCCTGAAAGGGCTTTTTACAAACTCAGAAGGGACAAAGAATCTGTGTTCTCCAGTCAAGATGAAAAATTGTCATGTGACTTCAGATTGATGATGTGTATAACATTGAAATCAGAAAACAACAAGAAATATTTACTATTCATATTGGTTTGTAGCTTAAATACTGTAACCCAACGAATATTCGCGACCAATTAATATTCGCTTTATTCGCGGATGGCCACGAAGCGCGAATATTTGTTTGCGCGAATAAGTCCGCACGATTTCGCGAATAAATTGGAGAGAAATTTTTATTTTAGACGTGGTTATGCAAAGCTACTTGACCGGATATATTCGAATTTTACGGGCACCTGTTAGGAAGTAATGAATTGTATAAAGCAATAAAAACACAAACCAAGTAAACTACTACTATTTTATAAATATCAAAAGAACTCTATGTCAATATAGCAATCAAAATAAACATCCACATTTTTATACAGTTTATGAAATACTAGTAGGCCAATTGTCAATCACGTTCCGTATAGGGTACTATATGTGTCAGTTTTAAGTTTCTTCATATTTACACTTCTATACTAATTATATGCATACAAAGTACTCGCACTTATTTTAAAATATATGTTTGAATAAATCGTTTGACAAAAGTGAGAAAACTATCGAGCATCACAAAAGGCTATTGTTTTTTGGATTGTTTGAGTGAATTGGTAAGACAAAGGTGGTATAAACCTATCGAGCATCACAAAAGGGTATTGGGTGTACATAATTACAAACAGTGAAATACAAAATGGTTTCATACTTGTATCGATATTTACCCTTTAAACTTAACAGCCTGTATAGCTCAATTGTTTAGATTGCGGACTCATATAACATAATTTTATCGGCGTGGGTTCGATGCCTGATTTGAGAAGGTATTTTTTTTATGAAACGCTTAAATTGAATTTCTTAAAGACTTTTCTAGATAAAATGAAGACGAACGATGCGTACATGTACATATATAGAGAATTTTTTTTGCTGAATTGTGACCACACTTCACTTACCAATACATGTACAATATAAGGCTAGCGTATTGTTAATCCCATTAAAGACACCAAAAATGATCTCAATTATTGAAGATTAATAGTTGGCTAATGGATTTTACTGCCCCATCGGACTTCCCAATCCGCGAATTTTTTTTTCGGAAATCAAGAAAACGCGGAAATTAATATTCGCGAATATGTCCGACATCGGCAAAACGCGAAAATTTGTATTCGCGAATATAAATTGGGTTACAGTATGTAAAGTGGGAAAGAATGGTTATATAACTTATAGTATTGTCCTATTTGTATAACAGCTTGGGTTATGTTTACAAGCAACCATTTTTATAGGGCCATATAACCTGTCAGGAATATTTATAGTTAATTTATAATACCGCAGATTTCCTTATTTAGAGAAAAAGGTGAGATTTCTTCATGAATTGATGGTAGCTGTGTATATAAAACTTAACATAACGATTATCCAATGAAAAGCAACATTACAAATGTGCAGTATTATAAAACTTATAGTATTGATGTATTTGTATAGTGAGAAGCAGCCTGTACACATTGTGGTGGATCCAATACTGTCAAAGGTTCTTCGACCACATCAGAGAGAAGTGAGTTTATATATTTCCTGTATTGTTTATATCTTATATTTTCATATCATATAAATTTAGAAGTAAATATTAACCATGAATTCATGTACTATCATGTAAAACACCTTAATATACTTATAAGGACATCATTATGATGCTTTCTCAAGATTAATTGGTATTATTTTGGAGAAAAATAAAATGGAACTGTTGTTCTTGAATTTGGACATTGATGTCAGCATGTTCCTATACATAAGGGAGGTGACCTCGAAGATGCCAAAAATTATAGGGGTATAACTTTGATAAACATTATTGCTAAAATATATTCACAGGTATTACTTAATCGCCTAACATCATGGACTATAAAACATAAAACTATAATAGATAATCAATACGGATTCCAAAACACAGGAAAATCAACTACAGATTGCATATTTATACTTCACTCAATAATAGTAAAAACTCTTTCTGATAAAAATAAATTATACATAGCCTTTGTAGACTTTGAAAAGTGCTTTGATAAATTACAACGTTCGTTTATCTTTCAAAAAACTAATCCAGGAAAATGTTAGTTCAAAATTTGTAAAAGCAATTGAAAGCATGTACAGCAGCGTAAAATCAGCGGTAAGGTTTAAAAAAGAGATATCACCAAACTTCACCTCAAACATAGGTGCAAAACAAGGTGACCCAAGTTCAAGTCTTTTATTTTTATTCTTCGTTAATGACATAATTCATAACATTAATAGTAACATTGATGGAATTTTCACCGTACATGAATTAAAATTATTTATGCTACTTTTTGCTGATGATACAGCTCTTTTTGACTATCAGCTCATAATCTCGAAATAGAAAAAGGAAGGCATGATAATATTCCAAGAGAAAACAGAAAATGTCGAAATTGTTCACTAAATTTAGTAGAGACAGAATATCATTTCTTATTAATATGCCCGAAATATTACAATTTACGTAGAAAGTTTTTTAAACCATATTTTTGTAGATGGCCTTCAATGCAGAAATTCGAAACACTAATGACAAGCACAAATATCAAAACAATTAATAATCTGGCAAGTTATCTGTACTACGCATTTAAAGAGAGGACATAACCTAAGATTTTAATATCCGATAACATACTTTTTTTCTTATGATTACAAGTAAATTTAATATCCGATAACATACTTTTTTTCTTATGATTACAAGTAAATGGGAGATAACTATGACAATAAATGATTAGTACATATACAACGGTTATGTCATCTTAGAAATATTATACTTGCCGTTTGATTTGTGGATATGATATAACGTTAACAAATATCTTTCTACTTAGCTTCTTACATATTTAAGTGTATTTATGTTTATACTTGTCACCAATAATTCTCGGCACGTGAACAAATCTCGTTCTACTGTGTACATGCATAAGTATTTTTATGCAATTATGTCGTTACCTTTGTTTATATTTGTCAACAATACTTCTTGGCAACGTTAACAAATAATTTTTTCTTCTTTGTTTAAGTACATTTGTTTCTTACATGTATAAGTATTTCTTATGCAAACTCTGTTGTTACATATATCATAACATTTGTTCATACTGGTTAACAATACTTCTCGGCTAATTGTAATTTGTAACACTTTACACTATACAGAATATGATTTGACTATAAATTGTATATTTACAATTTTATGTTAAATAAAAAAATTTATGTTATGTTATGTTATGTTGCTCTGTGTTGTTTGTGACAAACAATATGGTGTGAGATGACACTGTTCAGGGTCATTGCCAATCAGGTAAAAGTGGCAGTTATTTTTTTTTGAAACCAGTTTACATGTAGTAGACTGGTTGTACAGAAAATCTGTCAGGACAATAATTATGTTATATGCTTTTATGTGCGTTAATCGTTAGGTATGTAATATTTACATAAAAGTAAGAAATATTACATACATACTTAACGATTAATGCAAATAAAAGCATATGTCGTGCTTTAAGGGTACCTATGTGTTCAAAAATGAGAGGGTACCTGTGATATAAAAATTCAAATGAAGAGAGGTAGCCCGTGCCGCTGCAAAACTTAAAGTAGGGTGTTTTTATGAATTTTACATTTATTTTTGACAATATACTGCCATTTGTCCGAAGATGATATGTATATGAACATATTAAATATGTATGATGCATATATAATCAAGCCACAGGTTCATTTCAGCCCGAAAAATATGTCGAGGTGATGGGCGAGGCAAGACATGTCGATTTTTTGTAGCAGTTGCAGTACATGAAAATCGGGCACATGACAAATCAGCACATAAATAAAACATTCTAATGTTCCGTGGTATACATCTTTTCTACGTGTCATTCTTCCTTTCCCTATTACAATGAAATTTTACTGGATTGGTATCCATCGCTGGTTTGTTTTTAGCAGAGAATGACCTGTGCATGTTCAAAGAGGGTACCGTTTGAGCAGATTTCGCAAAGAGGGTACCGATATGGATATGCACCGTGGATAATGAAAAGTGCAACATCCCTCACACCCCAAGCACCAGCTTTAGCAGTACTCAGTTCTTAACACTTAAAAGTGCTGGACTCAATGCTCCCGAAAGACCAGAAAAATGTAACAACTTAAAGACTTAACAAAACAGAATGTTAATTTGTGGCCAATTAGATTAGTGAAGTGTATATGAAATGTTTCAGGGGGTGAAGTTTATGTATGACTGTGTAGTTGGTGTACAGATACCAGACAACTATGGTTGTATCATGGCTGATGAAATGGTAATGTTTCCACTAACAATAAATATTTTATAATAAAATTATTTTCTAAATATTTTTTTCCCCAAATTCTTTTATTTTAACAGATTAATCTTTTTTTTTAATTTCATGCAATGATTATTAAGTCTTTTACATTCTATAAAGTTGTTAAGTTCCTAAGAAATCCAGTTTAAATTAAAGTTAAGAAATAATGGATTTCTATATAAAGTCGTAGTATTTTTTTCATGCCACTTGTCTTATATATTTCAGGGTTTAGGGAAAACACTACAGTGTATTACATTGGCATGGACCTTATTGGTGGGTAAAATAGAATACAGTTGTTTATTTAATTTTAAATCCCAGTGGAAAAACAGAAATGAATCTGTGTTCAGCTTGGAATTTTTATGAATAATGGAGGATAAACAAATACAGGTTTTTAGCTGTACTTCAAAGTACCTCGGATAATCAGATAAATAATAAATGAAGTGCTCTCTCATTTGCTTGGATTGTATAACAAATTAAAAAAAAAACAACAAAAAACTAGTAAATTCTTTTTATTAACTTTTTTAAACAAAAAGAAATAAAGTGTAAATATTACCGATTTGACAGTTTTTCTAATTCCTTACCAAAAGCGATTATATTTATAGACAGCTTTACATACAAGGCACATGAACTGTAGACAAATTTGGTTATGGTGTAAGCTCATTACATAAAAAATGACACCTATTGAAATAAATAAAATTCATTTTATGATAAAACAAAATTTCTATTGTATACATTTGATTAAATTTCAGCGACAAAGTCCAGACTGCTGTCCTACAATAGAGAAAGCTGTTATAGTTTGTCCTAGTAGTTTGGTCAAGGTAAGACATCATCAGATAAACATTATGAAGAGATGACACCATTGACTTATAAATTAAATACCTCTGGATATTTTGCACCTTTGTTGAAGCACATATATAAATTCAATTTGTATGTACTTTTTGCCTACTGTATTTGACTTACAAATAAAATACAGTCCAACCTCGATTATTCGAATTACTGGAGACTGAAGATTTACTCCAATCATGTATTTGAATATAGTGTTGTTGAAAAACCGGTGTCGGATATTGTAGATGTGTATGTACTGTTTAGGGGCCTTTATAACTTATGTTTAAAGGTTGTTGAATTTAGATCAGTAAACCCTTACTGCTCTTGGTAGCTTTTTAGCTCACCTGAGCTTGCTCAGGGTGAGCTTTTAGGATCGGTGAATGTCCGTCGTCTGTCGTACGACGTACGTCCACAATTGCTTGTGAACACTCTAGCGGTCGCATTTTTGCCTCAATCATCATCAAACTTGGTCAGGATGCTTATCTAGTTGAAAGCTCGGATGAGTTCGAACATGGCTCATCTCGGATGAAAAACTAGGTCACAAGAGCTAAAAATAGAAAAACCTTGTGAACACTCTAGAGGTCACATTTTTGACCCAATCATCATCAAACTTGGTCAGGATGTTTGTCTAGGTGATAGCTCGGATGAGTTCGAACATGGGTCATCTCGGATGAAAAAGTAGGTCACAGGAGCTATAAATAGAAAAACCTTGTGAACACTCTAGTGGTCACATTTTTGAACCAATCATCATCAAACTTGGTCAGAATGCTTGTCTAGTCTATTGCTTGGATGTGTTCGAACATGGGTCATCTCTGATGAAAAACTAGATCACACGAGCTAAAAATAGAAAAACCTTGTGAACACTCTAGTGGTCACATTTTTGACCCAATCATCATCAAACTTTGTCAGGATGCTTGTTTAGATAATAGCTCGGATGAGTTTGAATATGGGTCATCTCGGATGAAAAACTAGGTCACCGGAGCTATAAATAGAAAAACCTTGTTAACACTCTAGCGGTCACATTTTTGCATCAATCATCATCAAACTTGATCAAGATGCTTGTCTAGGTGATAGCTCGGATGAGTTCGAACATGGGTCATCTCAATTGAAAAACTAGGTCACAGGAGCTAAAAATAGAAAAACCTTGTTAACACTCTAGTGGTCACAATTTTGACTCAATTGTCATCAAACATGGTCAGGAAACTTGTCTAGGTCATTGCTGGGAATAATTCGAACATGGGACAACTTAAATGAAAAACTAGGTCACAGGAGCTAAAAATAGAAAAATCTTGTTAACACTCTAGTAACTACTGTTGTGATCTAAATATTCTGTTAATTGGCCTGAAAGTTTGTTTTGATGATTTCTAAGTCAAGATCGAACATGGGTCATCTTGGATGAAAAACTAGGTCACACCGCCCAAATATGTTAACATTCTAGTGGTCACTTTTTCGACTCAATTATCATCAAACTTGGTCAGGATGCTTGTCTAGGTAATTGCTTGGATGAGTTCGAAATCGCATGTGAAACTAGGTCACCGGAGCGAAAAATAGAAAAATCTTGTTAACACTCTAGTTGCTACTGTTTTGATCCAAGTATCCTGGAAATTGGTCTGAAAGTTTGTTTTGATGATTTCTAGGTCAAGTTTGAATATGTATCACCTGGGTAAAAAACTAGGTCGCACTGCTCAAATATGTATAATCCTTGTTAACACTGTAGTGGTCACATTTTTGACTCACCTGTCATGAGACTTGGTCAGAATGCTTGTCTAGGTAATTGTTTGGATGAGTTTGATAAGTCAGGTGAGCGATCTAGGGCCATCATGGCCCTCTTGTTTAAAGAGATGTTGAGACCCTTCATATAATAAAAATGCCCTGGCAACTTACATATGGTTCATGATTGTATCTTGGAGATTTGGTTAATATGTCTGCTTCTCAACCCAGGAATCATGGGTTCAATTCTTTCTAGGGTCACACCCATTTTTTTTAGCTCACCTTGCACAAAGTGCAGGTGAGCTTTAAGGATGGCCATCCAAATGGCGTCCGTCGTCTGTCGTCCGTCCACATTTTAAATATTCTAAGGACATCTTCTATGATACCGCAAGGCCAATGTTAATGAAACTTGGCAGGAATACTCTTTGTATGAAGCTCTATCAAGATTGTTCAAAGAATTCCATTTCATGCAGAACTCTGGTTGCCATGGCAACCGAAAGAAAAATCTTTAAATGTCTTCTTTTAAAGAACCGTAAGAGCTAGAGCTTAGATATTTGGCATGAAACATCTTCTAATGAGTGTCTACCAAGTTTGTTCAAATAAAAGCCCTAGGGTCAAAATTGGCCCCGCCCTGAGGGGGTCATTGATTTTCCCTATATGCATATAGTAAAAACTTAAAAAATCTTCTTTTAAAGAACCCAAAGAGCTAGAGCTAAGATATTTGGCATGAAACATCTTCTAGTGAGTGTCTACCAAGTTTGTTCAAATAAAAGCCCTGGGGTCAAAATTTGCCCAGCCCCAGGGGGTCATTGATTTTCCCTATATGCATATAGTAAAAACTTAAAAAATCTTCTTTTAAAGAACTGTAAAAGCTAGAGCTTAGATATTTGGCATGAAACATCTTCTAGTGAATGTCTACCAAGTTTGTTCAAATAAAAGCCCTGGGGTCAAAATTGGTCCGGTCCCAGGGGGTCATTGATTTTCCCTATATGCATATAGTAAAAACTTAAAAAATCTTCTTTTAAAGAACCCAAAGAGCTAGAGCTAAGATATTTAGCATGAAACATCTTCTAATGAGTGTCTACCAAGTTTGTTCAAATAAAAGCCCTGAGGTCAAAATTGGCCCTGCCCCAGGGGGTCATAGATTTTCCCTATATGCATATAGTAAAAACTTAAAAAAATCTTCTTTTAAAGAACCCAAAGAGCTAGAGCTAAGATATTTGACATGAAATATCTTCTAGTGAGTGTCTACCAAGTTTGTTCAAATAAAAGCCTGGGTCAAAATTGGCCCCGCCCCGGGGGGTCATTGATTTTCCCTATATGCATATAGTAAAAACTTAAAAAATCTTCTTTTAAAGAACCGTAAGAGCTAGAGCTTAGATATTTGGCATGAAACATCTTCTAGTGAATGTCTACCAAGTTTGTTCAAATAAAAGCCCTGGGGTCAAAATTGGGCCCGTCCCAGGGGTCATAGATTTTCCCTATATGCATATAGTAAAAACTTAAAAAATCTTCTTTTAAAGAACCCAAAGACTAGAGCTAAGATATTTAGCATGAAACATCTTCTAATGAGTGTCTACCAAGTATGTTCAAATAAAAGCCCTGGGGTCAAAATTGGCCCCGCCCCAGGGGGTCATTGATTTTCCCTATATGCATATAGTAAAAAACTTAAAAAATCTTCTTTTAAAAAACTCAAAGAGCTAGAGCTAAGATATTTAGCATGAAACATGTTCTAATGGGTGTCTACCAAGTATGTTCAAATAAAAGCCCTGGGGTCAAAACTGGCCCTGCCCGGGGGGTCATTGATTTTCCTATATGTGTATAGCAAAAACTTAAAAATCTTCTTTGAAAAAACCCAAATAGCTTGAGTTTTAGATATTATACATGAAACATCTTTAAGTAAATATCTACAAAGTTTGTTCAAATAAAAGCCCGGGGGTCAAAAACTGGCCCTGACCCAGGGGTGTCATTGTTTTTAACTATATGTGTATAGTAAAAACTTAAAAATCTTCTTTTAAAAAACCCAATGAGCTAGAACTTAGATGTTTAGCATGAAACATCTTCTTATGGGTGTCTACCAAGTCTGTTCAAATAAAAAGCCCTTGGGTAAAAATTGGCCCGGGGGGGGGGGGGGGGGGGCTATATAGAGGTGAGCGACCTCAGGGCCATCATGGCCCTCTTGTCTCACTTGACTTCAATACTGGTTAGTTTCAAGAAGCAGGTTCAAGAGTGGTTAAACTTCAAGCTTTCATCACAATGGAGCTAAGATACTGTTAAAATAACAGTGTTAAATGATATGATGCTTTTTAACAGAACTGGTACAACGAGCTGAATAAATGGTTGGGAACGAAGATAAATGCACTAGCTGTTGACAGTGGTTCAAAAAGTGATATTGATAGAAACCTGAGTGAGTATTTTATACTATCTGTGATCTCACATGTACACAGAATGCATAAGGTGTAATATTTTGACAGTCTTGTTTGTTGTCTGCAGAATTTTATGAAACAAAAAATAAGGCTAAAAGTGTAGCAGTTCAATGAGCAATATGGCCATATGAGCTAAAGATAGAAGATACATTTAGGGAACATTACAACCTGAAATAATAGAAAATAGAAATAAGCTTTTATACCTGATGATCCTTTGATAGAAATATACAGAATTAACTAACATCATTGTGTTCTGCTTATCAAGATGGCTGCCAGTATTTATAGATATTAAACATTCTAACTTTTGAATGAATCTTAACCAATTTGAATTGGATAGAATTGTTTTGATTCACTGAACAATGTTGTTTTTTCTGACGTTGTTTAATGCAGTTGATACTGGAAGTGCTGCCATGAAGGCCAGCTTTTATGCCCCTACCATAAGTTAGACTCAGGGAAATGTATAGTTATATCCCTGTCCTTGTGTGCATGTTTTAAAAAATCTGTAAACTTTGTGTCAAGTTCATAATATCTGCATGTACATGATTATTATAAAAAAGATGATAATGGTGAAAGGTCAAGGGCAGGGATGAAATTTTGTGTATTTGTCATAAAGTCTTAGTGTAGTTGTGTAGTTGGAGTTTTTATCTGGTTCATAGCTACATGATGGGATTTTTAGCTCACCTGAGCTTGCTCAGGGTGAGCTATTAGGATCGGTGAATGTCCGTCGTCCGTCGTACGTCCACAATTGCTTGTGAACACTCTAGCGGTCACATTTTTTAACCAATCATCATCAAACTTTGTCAGGATGCTTGTTTAGTCAATTGCTTGGATGAGTTCGAACATGGGTCATCTCCGATGAAAATCTAATTCACGGGAGCTATAAATAGAAAAACCTTGTGAACACTCTAGCGGTCACATTTTTGAACCAATCATCATCAAACTTGGTCAGAATGCTTGTCTAGTCAATTGCTTGGATGAGTTCGAACATGGGTCATCTCTGATGAAAAACTAGGTCACAGGAGCTAAATATAGAAAAACCTTGTGAACACTCTAGTGGTCACATTTTTGACCCAATCATCATCAAACTTGGTCAGGATGCTTCTCTAGTTGATAGCTCGGATGAGTTTGAACATGGGTCATCTCGGATAAAAAGAAGGTCACCGGAGCTAAAAATAGAAAAACCTTGTTAACACTCTAGCGGTCACATTTTTTCATCAATCATCATCAAACTTGGTCAAGATGCTTGTCTAGGTGATAGCTCGGATGAGTTTGAACATGGGTCATCTCGGATGAAAAAGTAGGTCACAGGAGCTAAAAAATAGAAAAACCTTGTTAACACTCTAGCGGTCACATTTTTGCATCAGTCATCATCAAACTTGGTCAAGATGCTTGTCTAGGTGAAAGCTCGGATGAGTTCGAACATTGGTCATCTCGGATGAAAAACTAGGTCACAGGAGCTAAAAATAGAAAAACCATGTTAACACTCTTGAGGTCACAATTTTGCCTCAATCATCATCAAACTTGGTCAGGATGCTTGTCTAGGTGATAGCTCGGATGAGTTCGAACATGGGTCATCTCGGATGAAAAACTAGGTCACCGGAGCTGAAAATAGAAAAACCTTGTTAACACTCTAGCGGTCACATTTTTGCATCAATCATCATCAAACTTGATCAAGATGCTTGTCTTGGTGATAGCTCGGATGAGTTCGAACATGGGTCATCTCGGATGAAAAACTAGGTCACAGGAGCTAAAAATAGAAAAACCTTGTGAACACTCTAGTGGTCACAATTTTGACTCAATTGTTATCAAACTTGGTCAGGAAACTTGTCTAGGTCATTGCTGGGAATAAATTGAACATGGGTCATCTCGGATGAAAAAGTAGGTCACAGGAGCTAAAAATAGAAAAATCTTGTTAACACTCTAGTGGCTACTGTTGTGATCCAAATATTCTGTTAATTGGTCTGAAAGTTTGTTTTTGATGATTTCTAAGTCAAGTTCGAACATGGGTCATCGTGGATGAAAAACTAGGTTACACCGCCCAAATATGGAAAAACCTTGTTAACATTCTAGTGGTCACATTTTTCGACTCAATTATCATCAAACTTGGTCAGGATGCTTGTCTAGGTAATTGCTTGGATGAGTTCGAAATCGCATGTGGAACTAGGTCACCGGAGCTAAAAATAGAAAAAATCTTGTTAACACTCTAGTTGCTACTGTTTTGATCCAAGTATCCTGGAAATTGGTCTGAAAGTTTGTTTTGATGATTTTCTAGGTCAAGTTTGAATATGTGTCACCTGGGTAAAAAACTAGGTCGCACTGCTCAAATATGGATAATCCTTGTTAACACTGTAGTGGTCACATTTTTGACTCACCTGTCATGAGACTTGGTCAGAATGCTTGTCTAGGTAATTGTTTGGATGAGTTTGATAAGTCAGGTGAGCGATCTAGGGCCATCATGGCCCTCTTGTTTAAAACAGGGGTTATTGAAACTTTAGTGATCAAAACCTTTTAATGTTATAATGAGATTAGTAATTCAATGAGATGCAGTATAACAGTGGGTAGTGTAATTTGTTACTGTAAGTTCTAAAAAGTTTGCAGCAGAAAGGTTGAAGGTTAAGAAAGCAAAACTTATAAGTGTATTTACTTTATCATAGCTCATGTTATGCCAGAAAAATCAAAATATAATGGACACTTCTTCATGAGTGTATAATATTTTGTTCACGATGCTCGACGTTCAATGCAACAGAAAGGTTCGAAGAATAAGTAATTCTCGTTGGGTTGATTAATATCGTTATGAGACATTTAGACTTTCATTGGCTACTGTATAAACATTTTAGGAGAAAGTTTGGACTGGTTATCTGTGACGAGGTACTGTACATACATACAATAAATGAGCCGCACCATGACAAAACCAACATAGTGCTATCAGTTTCTCTGCTTGTAATAGGGTTTGTAGGATGCGCAGGCTGGTCTGGATCCATGCTGGTCACAAACGCACTGTTTTGGTTTTGTCGTGGCGTAGCTCAAATGTGGTTTGTGTTCATATTAACCCCCACATCCGCATCATAAGCATGTAAAATATATAAAATTTTCTATTATTATAAATGAAAAGTATCCATTGAGAATCTTTATTTTCGCACTTATGTCAGAATGCAGTTATTGAATGAAATTAATGGTGATTATTTTATACAATATCATTCGTTAAGCTGAAATAATAAGGTAAAGTTATGTTAGTTAAAAAATCTTACTGTTCATCTAATTGTTGTTAGGAAAATCAGATTTTTTATCTTTGTTATTAAAAGAGCAAGAATGTTTTGTATTGATTATTACAGGGTCACAGGTTAAAGAATAGTGAAAACCAAACATACCAAGCTTTGACTGGTTTAAACTGTAGACGTAGAATTTTGTTATCTGGTACACCTATACAAAATGACCTACTAGAATACTTCAGTCTTATACATTTTGTAAACAAGGGAATTCTAGGTAAGTTTTGTGTACAAAATGATAAATTTGAAGAACATCAAATATAATTGCAGGAACCCTACAAGTTCCATGAAATTTGACCTTTTTGAGACTTTCATCTTTTAACTTGTACAGCAATTATGTTTCCCAAAAAATTTTTGGATACATATTGTTTTTTCCTTTGCCTTTGCCTATGGCTTTCACAGATCAAATTGCTAGCAAGATTTCGACAAAATTTTACAGGATTGATCGGTACCAGCCCTAGTTATGCATATTGCCAGCACATTTGGCTTGCTGCACAAAATTGACTCCAGAGCTAAAAAAAAGGAAAATCTTGTCTGGCTTTCACGGGGCAAACTTTTTAACAAAACTTCACATGATTGATCAGTACAAACCCTGGTTTTACATATCACTGGCATGTTCCACCTCGTTGCACAAGATAACTGTTAGAGCTAAAACTTGAAAAATCTTGTCTCGCTTTCACTGGACAATCTGCTTGTGTGATTTCAATGAAAGTAAATACTAACTATAGTTATGTATATTGAAGGCAGGTTTAGCTTAGGTGCACAAAATTCTTGCCAGAGCTAGGAGAACCTTGTCTGGCCTTCACAGGTCAAACTGCTTGCATGGTATTCATGAAACTTCACAGGAGTGATCAGTGCCAGCCCTTCTTGTGCATATTGCTGGAATGTCCCAGTTCCCTGCACAAAATGGCCACAAGAGCTAAAAATAGAAAAAACTTGTCTAGGTTTCACAGAGCAATCTTCTGGCGGTATTTTGAGGGAACTTCACAGGTGTGACCAGTACAAACCCTTGTTGTGTCTCTTTGAAAAAAGTGTCCCTCAAAATTTTATTTTTTGGTTCCTTGTGTCCCCTAAAAAAGTTTGATAGAAAATCAACATTGTTGTTGATATTTCTAAGTGAATTGATATACCATTTGGTCCGGTGGTTCTAGTTACATGCATTATTTTATTGTCAAACATGCTTGCTTCTTAATTTACAATATTTTCCATGTATTCAGGAACTGCCCAGGAATTTAAAAGAAAGTTTGAGACACCAATCTTGAGAGGTAGAGACTCTACAGCATCTGATGGGGACCACAAAAAAGGAATGGAAAAATTACAAGAAGTATATTCATGTTGTTATACTGTTGTTTTTTTTTGTAATTAATTATAAAAGACATAGATATACAATGACAGGTGATGCTGACACTACTTACAACAGTCATTGAGAGTGTTTTTACAATCTCTCTTTACAGGAAATTCTCTCAGGATATTTGTACTACAGTCTAACTTGCCCATGCGACCACGTGTATTAAGCGATTTTTGTCTTATGCGACCACTTTAAATTCCCCCTGATCATTTCCTGTCTATATCTTTAATGTATTAAGCGCCTTTTGCTCAACGCGACCAGCAACCGCTAATGAGTCAGCTAATTGATATCAATCTTTTCATCAAACAACAACTTTTACCTGTCAAGTAATTGTGTTTTTAGAGAACACTGCCTCATAATGTCACTAATGTCAACAATCAAAGCACAATATATAAATTTGTGAAAAACTCCAAAACTGTTTTAGCGTATGCAAATGAAGTTAAGTATACGCGTGACGTATTACCTTTAACTTGATCAGCAATTAAAGTAATCATTAGAATTAGATGTAGTTTGTTTAGTTCAAATAAAAAATGCACAACAGAAAACATATTCACGTATTTGGATTGTTGTGAGACGGAGGAGTTTAAGAATTCTGGAGAAATGTCAAACATGTACTTAAAAAGTTATTTTTTTACATTAGCATCCATTTAGATTATCGGAGCGTTCTAATTATTAAACATTTATATAAATTTCTAAATGAAGTTGAAAAGCATTCCCACTGCAAAAAAAAGATGTCTTTTGAATTTTTATCTTGCTTTGTCTTAAGAGACCATTTCACTAAGCAACCTGTTTGGGTGTTTCCCTTGCGCGGTCACTTAATACACATTTGACTGTATATCATTTCTTATCACAACACAATAAATTTTAATACAAAGAGCAATTAACCACTTGTTCACTCATAATAACAAAATACATGTACTTGAAGTATTTTCATCAACTTTGTCTACTAATGTTCCTGGGGATTTTCATTTTCAGATTTTCACTTTATTTAGTTGTGCATTAGACAAGTTTTATATGTAATTGTATTGTTGTGATTAAATAGCTCAGGTAAAACTTTCTGTTACCAGGCTTTCATAGTGTCATTATAGTTTAACATTAATGGCTTCAACAGGTCTTACATTTGAAAGTTAATTCAGTTTTGTTGATATCATATATAATAATGTTGTAATGATTTCAGCTGGCCACCATTGTAAACAGATGTATAATCAGAAGAACACAGGCTTTGTTAACACAGTATTTACCTGTTAAAAGTAAGGACATTGTTTATCATTTACAAAATTTAATGGACAGAATAGCAAATTGATTGCTTTCCATAGGTCAAAATATAAAAAGAATTATGTCATGTGTATTATACCAAATTCTAACACGACCCGCATTTTTCCCTATTGAACAAAGAAGAACCGAAAGTGTTTGTCATTATGCAACAAAATCACTGCTGACTTTCTATATTTAGACATGTGACATAATCATTATATATGTGACTTAACCACTAAAAATGAGACACGCTGAAAATAAGCACGAAAACAAATCGGCGCAATTTAGCTGAATATCAGGTACGGCAGCATGTATTTGGTGACGTCATGTTAGAATCGAAATAATATATCCAAATCGGTGATTTTATCGCTTGATATAATCACTGTTTGTCGTTCGGATGCGCATCATTATATCACTCGGGCTACGCCCTCGTATAATTCCTCGCATTGGAACTCTAAACAGTGATTTTATTGAGGGATTTAATCACAGTTTGGGATATATTATTTCTTAAATAACAAATAGTTTGATCACAGTGTGAAAGTAACACCATAAAAATGATCAGTAATCACTTTATCATTAATTGTTGAACTTGCATCATTTGTAGACTGTTCTACTGTTTTGTTTTTCAGTTGAAGAAGTAATTTGTATAGAGTTGACACCAGTCCAAAAAGAAATGTATAAACATTTGGTCCAGTCTAAATCAGCAGAATGCTTACAGAAAGCAGAAGCAGGGAACCAGTCTGCCGGCAGTCTGTCATTTATCACACAGCTTAAAAAATTGTGCAATCGTAGGTCATCCCCAATCTCATTAAATGTCTTTGTATTCTTTAGGTTTTGTAAAGTTCTATGAACATTTCTATTTATCTCTGAAAATTACCAGGTATTAATTGCTGGGTTTAAAGAATAGCAAGCAAAATATCGTTTGTGTATGTTTACAAATAAATGCTATCAGGCTGGTATTCCAGTTCACTCAGAAATGTGAAAAGTAATGTAAAAGATAGAACTTAAGTTTTTCCTTTATAAGTATTTTAGTTTTGATGTGAATCAAAATGATAGAAAAAGATGAAATGTTAGAGATTTATATAATTTATATGAATAAGTTGAGAAACATATTTTTAGCAATTGATGATATGCTGTCTTAGTTAAGAAATATTTGGAGAATATTCTTAGCAATAGCGAGGGACATCCATGTGGTGAAGATTGTTAACTTCAAACCACTCGCCCCTCACTGCTGTGGGTTTGAATCCCACAAGGGACTAGGGATTCGTTCATGTCAAGAAGCAATCCAGCTAGTTTATGGAACATCAGTGGTTCTACACAGGTGCCTGTTTGTGCCTGAAAAAAATGCATGGAGTGGCACCTGACTGACCTGAAGTCTTCCTGCACCAGTAAAGCTAGAAACTCGCAATATGACCTGTACTGTGTTGGAACAACATAAAACCAAACCAAAAAATAAATAAGTGAAATAAAAAAAATGAATAAAAAAGATTAATGATATTAATAATTTAGCCTCCTGAAATTTTTTGTTAAAAAAATGATTGTATTCAGATCAGACTTGTTATATTTTAGATCCTGATCTTATTTATGAGAAATGTGTTGAAGAGGCTGATGGTTTTGAAGGAATGATTGATATGTTCCCTGCTGGTCATAATCTCAGAACTGTCAAACCAGAACTCTCAGGTAAATTACCAGTGTTGCATTGTTTATCCATATCATTGGAAATTTAAAGTGGTTGCATAAGACAAAAATCATATTATCAATTTATACTTGTTTGGTCATTGATTAATATACAGTAATTGAACAATCGTTATTATGCCCCCCTTCGAAGAAGAGGGGGTATATTGTTTTGCTAATGTCGGTCTGTCTGTCTGTCTGTTGGTCTGTCGGTCTGTCCGTCGGTAGACCACATGGTTTCCGCTGATTATCTTGAAAAGTATTTATCACAAAGTCTTCATATTTCACATAGTGATTGGTCATCACTAGTAGATGACCCCTATTGATTTTGGGGTCACTAGGTCAAAGGTCAAGGTCACAGGGACCTTAAATGTCAAAATGGTTTCCGCTGATTATCTTGAAAAGTATGTATCACAAAGTCTTCATATTTCACATAGTGATTGGTCATCACTAGTAGATGACCCCTATTGATTTTGGGGTCACTAGGTCAAAGGTCAAGGTCACAGGGGCCTTAAATGTCAAAATGGTTTCCGCTGATTATCTTGAAAAGTATGTATCACAAAGTCTTCATATTTCACATAGTGATTGGTCATCACTAGTAGATGACCCCTATTGATTTTGGGGTCACTAGGTCAAAGGTCAAGGTCACAGGGACCTTAAATGTCAAAATGGTTTCCGCTGATTATCTTGAAAAGTATGTATCACAAAGTCTTCATATTTCACATAGTGATTGGTCATCACTAGTAGATGACCCCTATTGATTTTGGGGTCACTAGGTCAAAGGTCAAGGTCACAGGGACCTTAAATGTCAAAATGGTTTTTGTTGATTTTTCCATAATTGAACACTTCCATGTACCCATTTTTGGCAAGTTTCTGTAATAAAATTACCAATTATGTGAGTCAATGGCTAGAAAGGGGGGTATATGTGTCGTTCGACATTCTTGTTTTTCATTGATTTAAAGCCTTTTTAAGCAAAAATACTTTGTCTATTTCATGATTTGTAAAACGATTTGTTTGATATTGTTGTTGTCTTCACTTGCTTGTGCTGTATTGAACATGCTCTATAAATGTATATATTTTCACACAAAATAACACAGAATGAAGTGCATGTACATTGAAGATTCTACCCTTATCATAGTACATATATTGGTTACAATCATTTCCATACAAAGTAATTATTTTCAAATCATTCTTAGTACATAGAAATGTTTGTATGTTTCAGGAAAGTTCCTAGTATTAGACTGTTTATTAGCTATGATAAAGTCTTCCAGCAGTGACAAAGTTGTCCTGGTATCCAATTATACACAGACTCTTGACTTGTTTGAAAAACTCTGTAGATTGAGAGGGTGAGTTTTATAAGTTTAATTAAATTACTCATTTTCTCATATATAATCTTGCGATAATTGCTGCCTTTAAGTCTTCTATGCAGGTGGTTGTAATAAATGAAGTGATAGAAATTTCTGTTGGATTCAAACTTTAGATATTTCACTGTAGACTTATACACCAATGTTCCAAATATAGGGGCCATGGTTAAAAAATTCCACTCGTCCGCTGGTATTTACAAGTAGACATCGATGCAGGACGAGTACAAAATCGTTGTATGCTTGTCTGGCAGGACAAGTGGAAATTTGCCAATGTAATAGAAAGCTAGAATTCTTAAAATCAGTTATAATTAGGAAATAGATATCAATTCTGAGTGCATTGTTGTAGAATAATGCATGGTTTGAATTCAAATGCGTAGTAACATAATCACGAAGGCCGATAGGCCTGAGTGATTAATTACAAAGCAGTTGAACGAAAAACATGCATTATTGTATTATAATGCACAAAGAATTAATATATATTTCCATTCTAACACCCCAAGAAAAAAATATAATTATTATTATAATGTTGGACTTAATGTTTGGTGGTTAAATTTGTTTTCGCCTCAGAGTTTCCAATAGAAATATTCTTTAAAGGCTGTTCCAGTGGGTTGAAAAAACTGTTGTTAAATCTTCCGTGTGTAGAAACATTTTGAGAATAACGAATTTTGAAAACGTTGAGAAAACTTTGTTTGTTTATTTTATTTCACATTATACTTTTTTTAGCGAAATACAAATTATTAAAAGTGAAATAAATGTAAAACTTAACTTGTTTGCGACATTAAAATGGCGTACTTGATTTGATTGTTTTGCACGTGCTGTTTGGCGCTACATTGTGACGTCATGTAAACAATACTTCATGTAAACGTCTGTACAGCGTTAACGACTGAATTAAAGATATTGGTGTTCAGATTCATTTTCTTATTTAGACCATTTTCTTCCATTCTAGATGGTTTTCACAACAAAATTCGACAAAAAATTGTTTTTTATTTATCAGATTTTCAAACAAAATGGCACCCTCAATATATTACACAGGGAGATAATAAGAACGGCGTGTGCATTGTTGTAGAATAATGCACGCTTCGTGCCTTCTTTGTTTATATAGCAAAAATTCCGATAGTGTTAGAATCTTATTTTTACACAATGTGTTTAATATTTCAGGTATATATTTGTTAGACTGGATGGATCAATGACAATTAAGAAGAGAGCTAAAGTTGTAGAAAGCTTCAATAATCCAACTGTTAGTATTGTTACTTTAAAAGGTCACCATTTCATACTGTAGTATATTGATGTAGATGTATTAGATATATCATATCTCACCTACCACATTTAAACATTTTATAATAGTAACTGTTAGAAATCAAAATAAGGAAGAAATACAACACATCCACACCAGTGCAGGTTGAGTAATTCAATAATCTACCGGTTTCAGTTCTTAATGAACCTTCATCAGGATCAAGTAGTAACTGTTAGATTGTATAAATATGATGATTTAACATTTAAACTACATGTTTTGCTTTATTCTGATTCACATTCAACCAAATGTGTTCTTATGATTTAAAGTATTAGGTCACCAGTATATATTTATGGCTAGATTGCAGTATTCAACTATCTTCCTACTATTTTTACTTAGTAAATCTTTGCATTATTTTGTTATTTCATAAAACATCTGGGGCGTCCGTGGCCGAGTGGTTAAAGTCGTTGACTTCAAACCACTTGCCCCTCACCGCTGTGGGTTAGAATCCCGACAGGGACTTTGGATTCTTTCATGTGAGGAAGGTATCCAGCTAGCTTATGGAACGTCGGTGGTTCTACTCAGGTGCCCATTTGTGTCTGAGAAAATGCACGCAAGGGCAGCTGAGGTCTTCCTCCACCAGTAAAGCTGGAACGTCGCCAAATGACCCATACTGTGTCGGTGTGACGTAAAGCCCCCCCCCCCAAAAAAACCAAACCCATAAAACATCTGTATAATAACTTGTGAATTTTGAAATTGGTTGTTTTTGATGTATGTTTGTATTTTATAAGAGGGTTAATGCACATTTGTTTGTGCATGATCATCTGCAGAAGCACAAGGACACATTGAAAGCATTTTATATGTCTGAGGGCTTTAACAGATGTTAACGCAGAAAAAGGTGCATTAGCAATTTTCTTGCATAAAAGTATATGTCCAAATTGGTCATTCTGCATTTTGAATTTTATTTGTATAATGTATAAAGAAACAATTGCTTGTTGGGTGCTTTCCACATGCTAGACATTAACAGTCCTGTCCTGATTATAAAACTACAGGTGCCATCATTGCATTGAGCTGTTTTTTACATTGCGCCGTGATAGTATTTATGAATCACTCTCATTAAAAATAACATTGAAGGCATGTGGCTATGAGAATCAGTTTATGTATGTTTTGTCATGCATTAATGTATGCCTGCATGCGAAGTTTTTATGCAAGAATAAATATAAAAGAATTTTAGCAACATTTAGAAGAAATAAACAATCAAAATAAGATATGCACAACTTTTGTAAACAAAACAAAGATGTAGGCTACCCTTTTTCATGTTTTTTTTTCTTTCTCCCTCAGAGTCCTGAGTTTATATTTATGCTGAGTAGCAAGGCAGGTGGTTGTGGTTTAAATCTTATTGGTGCAAATCGGCTGGTGATGTTTGATCCTGACTGGAACCCGGCTAACGATGAACAAGCTATGGCTCGTTGCTGGAGAGATGGGCAGAAAAAAAATTGTTTCATTTATAGATTATTGGCTGTAAGCATATTTGTTAAATTTGTATATTTTTTATGGCAATGTCAGAGTTAATTCTGATCAACATCTTATATAACTGTCTACACATGGCAGTATAGCAAAGTTTAGTCAACTTCAAGTGGTTAAAGTAGACTATTAATTTAAGGATTGCTAGCTGCACTGGTTCAATCCCCATCAGGAGGAGGCCGTTATCTCCATGAGCAAGAAACTTTACACTCATTGCTTAGTACTGGAATGGATTAGTGAAGGTGTCAATAAGCTAATTGCTTTTTACAAAATTGAACTCAAATAAATTCTGTATAAACTAACCTCTCTGCATTTCAAACTTCTCTTTAATGAAATTGGAATTTCTTCTAATTTTTTTTCAAAACCATTCCTGTAAATATTCAATATTTCCAGCACTTACAGTTGTCTCTGTCATAATCTGTATGAAGAGAGGAGACAAATCATCTAGAAATGTGTAATATTTTGTTATCATGTAAAAGGCTTACAATTTCTCTTCAAATAGAGAAACAACTGAAATGAAATTGTTTACATCAGAACATTTCATCAACTTGTTATATTATCACTTGATGATCCTCTATGGTGGTGTGGTTAAGGTCACTAACTCGAATTCATCTGTCTGTACTGTGATCAGATTAAATACAGGGACTATGAATTCTTTCATGTGAGGAAGCTTTAATAGAAGATCAATAGTTCTACTCAGGCATCTTAGCTGTTCCTTCACAAGTTAGCTGCAAAGTTGATATTTGACCTTAACAGTTTGTGTGAAACTTGAAACTATAATACAAGAAGATATACATGAATTTTAAAATTATGATCTCAAGCATGGACCATAGAGAAAATTCTTCGCCAAACACAAGAAAGCTTATTGTTGTAATAAAGAAAGATTTGGAGACATTTTTAGTGTGATGAATCAAGAGGATTGAATTTCAACATGACATGAGGACACCAGAGTTTTAGTATGAAGATAAGATAGTAGTCAGAGACATTTTATCTGATATGTCAATTTGTTATACATTGACTTTATAGGATGATACTTGAATATAAAGTTATTCTATGCAGTTATACTACTTGTATGGTTTAGATAATACATAAGATTTTCTATGGATCTTTGTGACGATATTTAATAATAGTATACATCAATTTCTGACGTTACTTATTTGGCTATTGTTGATTTTGTTAGGCCAAGATCTCTCAAGGCAGAAGCACATGTTATGATCTGTTCTTGTGAAATCCTTGAGACTCGAATACAGATACTCACATAATGACCCTGTCATAATATATCTCCTTTCACCTGTTTCCTATTCTTTCAATCTTAGAATGTTTATTTATTCCATAATTCATTTGTGTAGATGAAACAGTTAAATCTATATAACTGGTTTCCACTTGGTCTTGTTAATACTTGTACACGTATGTGTTTTATATTGCAGGTTTAAGTGTAGAAGATGTGTGAATAATATACAAGTAAAGCCTCCATCGGACGACTCGGACTGTAATTCTGACTTGTCTCAGTGGCATCATTCTACTGATAAAAAAGGTTTAAAAGACTTGATGTTGAAAGGGGCGTGGTCATCAGACACACCTATATCATTTGTGTTTCACCATCATTCACATGAACAACAAAGAGTGACTGTATAACATAAAGTGAATGAAGTATCTGTAGTGCTAATTTATTATAGAGCTATTTTCATGATTTTTGTTAAAGAGGAACAGGTTCCAGATAGATGTTTTTTGATGTGTACCTGGAAAAACCAGGGTTCATTGGTAACAATGAAAAGAGTTGCATTTGGTAATGCAGCAGAAAAAGGTGCTTGTAGTCAGGCAGTTTCTAATCAAAGCAAAACTTCAGCAAGAATTAAAGAGAGTATATGGAGTATAAAATGGCTACTGCTTGAATTGATAGTGGAAGCACGTCTTTGTTGTAATAAATGCAAATACATTATCAATAATATATCATACACATATACATGTATGTTCAATTATTTTTTGATCCCGATGCTTGGCACTGTCATTTTGTAACAGACAGATTTGGAAATTTTACATGTTTTGTGGGGTTTAATGTGCCATTGTTATACAAAGTATAAAACAAATTGTTTTCAACTATAGTTTTAGTTGAAAAAATAGAGAATGTTGCAGTGTTGACAATTGAATAAAAAAGTTTAAATATAAAAATAGAAATAGTTTTAATTATATTTATTTCAAATTGTATTTATTGCAATTTAATAATTGATATGTAGTTTCCTGCATTACAAAAAAATAAAAATATAGTTTTATAGAAAAAAAGAATACATAATTGGGTTGAATATTTATGTAGCAGGACAAGTGGATTTAATTTTAAGATATTTTTATTTCTAATGCTTTCAAAAACGTGAGTGTCGTTCATTAACCCATAGCCTGCCGAATTTGTGTATTAGATTTTCCTGCTCTAAATTTTGAACAGTCCATTCAAAGTTTGTGAGCTTTCACTATTAAATGCAAGAATTGAGCTACCATCAGTGTAGAGTCTTGCCAGAGTTTAAAGAAGTGCAGGCTTGCCTGGCTCTATAGTGGTGACAAAAACTTATCACTTTTTGGTTCTAACATTGTAAGGGCATGCTAGATTAAATCTTTATAAGTCTAAATAACTACATGTATGTATTATCGTAAATATTTCATTGCAGAAAAAGCATGTGATATTTAACCCATTACTTCATGAGCATTTTGTGAAAAATGGCTGTTTTCATTGAACATTGATTCTCCACTAAACGTGCAAATTAGAAAATATTCTGTCCCTCGAGTATATTTAGTTGCACTGCAGTTGAAAAATACTTTTTGGGCTTTCTATTGCTTCATTACATGGTCATGTATGTAAAGCATTCAAATTAATGACTTAGTCTGTTGGATTTTTACGAAAATATTATCATGCAGAGGTGCTGTATAATCCATTATGTAATGTCCCCAGGCTTGGGTCCCACATTACTGTTGGTTTTACATAATTTCACCTGAAACATGTGTTGAAGAAAAACCTCTTAAGTATTAAGTTTTTGTTTAAATGTCTAAGTGAGCGATTTTTATTGTTTTCTACAGCGAATTTGGAAAAAAGTTACCAGCTGAAATGCATGTCCCTCATATATTAAACAGATACGTTACCACACTTAGGGTAAACCTGAGTAAGAGTAATATGAACGTGTAACATATTAATATTTTGCTATTGAACTCAAGTTTTATCATATTATATTATTCAAAAATAATTTTGACTAGAATATACATACTAGAACCACAATGACTTTGCAATGATGAGGCAATTTGGATTATACTTTAAAGTGAAACAGATACGTTACCATGATATCCCACTGAGAAACATTTACTATTACCAGCACTTAAAAGAAGGATCGCATTTATGCATTATTCAAATATATGCTTTACAAAACTTAATATTTTAATATATTTGGCAAACATATGTGTATATCTGATATATTTTAGTTTTTTGACCAACAGATACGTTACCAACAGATACGTTACCAATATTTATTGTTTGAATCTTAATTGACGATTTTGCTCAGTTTTGAAATGGTTTCGAGTAAAAATTCACAGCATAACATACGTGTAGCCAATAAATGATGCTTAGATCTCGATTTTATTGGAAAACTGAAAATGTGAATCAGGAATTTGAAATTCAAGGATTAGTTGAGTTTTCTAGGAAATAAAATGTTGAAAACAGAAAAGAAACATATAAAGATTTACTGTTTTATTTCCTGGAATAAATATATGTTGATATCTTTTTGGTTTGCAAAATTTGCATAAAAATAAAATGTAAAGGACTGTATAAACATCTGGTAACGTATCTGTTTATCATAGTAACGTATCTGTTTAGAAAAAGATTTGAGTACTGTTTAATATATAAATAAATCTTCAACAAAACTTTGGTTTAAATAAGTAATATATGGTTAGGCAATATATAACAGCACTGTAACTTAATGAAAAAAAAACATATTAAAGTATTTTTAAATGAATGCCTGTTAGTTTCTAAATTTTAGTCAGGGTCGTATAAAGATTTTCTGTCTATGGTAGGGATGGACTAATTGGATATAACTCAAAATCTTGGAGGTGCACATATATATGGATTGATTATTACTAAGTTGTTTTTAAGCAGTACCATTGTTTCTGATATAATTTTGTTAAATGTAGATAAGCATATACATGTAGGTTTACTCATATCACCAAGTATGAAAAAATCATAGATCGAGATTGTACCAGTATATAAAGAAAAAGTATATAGAAAAAATAAAGACAATTGAACAGCAGATGAACCAAAAAAAAAAAAAAACGAAATACAGAATGTCAATTCACACAACTCACATTAATATAGCTGTTACATATTCTAATAGATGAGTGTCTTTATTTAAATGTTCTTAATAAGTTCAATCTGTTTCTTAAAGTCACGATGTTATTTGACTATTTGAAGCTACACATAAACCAATAAAACCTAAAAAACTGTAGATGATATTGTGTGTTCTGTTTAATATTAAAAGTACTGGTTCAGACATATTATTTATTGGTCAGTTGTTTAAAAATCTTTATGAATATCTATCTACGTGTTCAGCGTTTTTCATAATTTTGTTCATAGTAGAACGGTGGAACAGATACGTTACTATGATTTAATATTCGTTTCCACTTAGCGGAATAAATTTATACTGTTAAGTAAATCCGAGCTACATTGTGTCAATAGATAAGTATGGAACATCAGTATTTTTATTGGCCTAAAATGCTTTTATAAGTAAATAATGTATTTGGAATAAACAAGTCTGATTAATAAGTAACATTTTCATCAGTTTCAGTTCACAAGCTATTCATAGACATAGTTTTTTTTAAAAAAAATGCATATCGATGCATAATATGTTGCAATATATACTGGTGCTATATTGCTGAAAGAATGATAGTAAATTTCCAAATCGTGTATATTCATGCTAATTATTAGTCCCCTACTGGTTTACCGGAGGGGACTTTAGGTTTACCCTCCGTCCGTCTGACTGTCTGTCCGTCCGTCTGTCTGTCCGTCAGTCCGTCCGTCCACAAAACTGGATCCCGCGATAACGCAAAAAGTACTGGAAATATTTTAATGAAACTTGATATATGGATAGATGGCAGTATGGAGATTATGCACGTCTTTTTCTTTTCTTCCTATGTTAAAAATTCTGGTTGCTATGGCAACAAATAGACTGAAAATATGGCAAATTTTACACATAACCTGGATCCCGCGATAACGCAAAAAGTACTGAAAATATTTTTATGAAACTTGATATATGGATAGATGGCAGTATGGAGATTATGCACGTCTTTTTCTTTCCTTCCTATGTTGAAAATTCTGGTTGCTATGGCAACAAATAGACTGAAAATATGGCAGATTTTACACATAACCTGGATCCAGTGATAACACAAAAAGTACTGAAAATATGTTTATGAAACTTGACATATGGGTAGATGGCAGTATAGAAATTATGCACATTCTTTTCTTATCTTCCTATGTTGAAAATTCTGGTTGCTATGGCAACAAATAGACTGAATTTCAAGATTTCTGATTCTAGTTTTTAAGTTTTTTCACTATAAGTTCTTTATTTCTTAAGGTATTTTCTTCAAACTTTAAGTATAAATTGCTTGTCATCAACCACATCATATGTGACAAGGTTTACAACTCTAGCACAAAATTTATCAGAATTACTCCTTGAACTTAAAATTTTCATGAAAAAAAACATTGTTTTTTTAATAACTTCTTTTTCTGAATGTATCTACTTCAAACTTCATTTAAATGTTTCTTATTATCACTCAACATTTGTGAGTGTTCAATACTCTAGCAAGACTATTTCCAGAATTATGCCCCTTTTGAACTTAGACTTTTTTTTGAGAAATTGGTAATTTTTACTCCAACTTCTTCAATCATGATAGGATTTTAAAAATGTTATATTTTGATAACAGGGATGTTTAAAAAATAACTTTAGAGTGTCCTTCAGTCCGTCTGTCTGTACATAAAAACTGTTTCGTGTGATCACTTTTAAAGAACTTTTTCAACACTTAACATAGGAACCTAAGTGAATGGCCAATGGCCCTTCAGAATGTTGCTTGGGCTCTTACTGGTAGGGGACTTATGGATTGCTTGCAATACTATGATAATTGCTTGTTTTTATCTAGTCTCTGAAAGCAATTGGAAAAATGGTAACGTATCTGTTTTTGCACAAATCTCAAATTCTTGGTAACTTACTGTCAGGATATATTACAAGTTTTTTGGTGAAATGTTAAAAGAACCAGTATGTGTTCAATGTTATACATGAGTTAAACCAACAAAAAAAGGTGTTTTGGTAACTATTCGCAAATGTCAATTACTCACTATTACACACAGCCGAATTTGAATGTTTAGTGGAGAATCAATGTAAAAGTCTCCCGTTACAAGTTCAAATTGCTATAATACTATAAAAACTGCTTCAACACTAATCAAACTTGGCACAAATGTTGACTGGACCATTGCCCTTGAAACAACATGCTCAGGCTTAAATTTTCTGTTACCATGGCAACGAGGGGACATCTCAAAATTGCCAAAAATCACTATTTTGCGTTGATTTTTTCCATCAAAATTGTTTTCAAAGTGCTGCAACTTCTCAATTGATTGAGATAGAGTCAAATGCTTTTCAGTGTTGGTTACACGTTACCTTATGATCAATCTGGGGTCATTTATAGCCTCTCACAAGTCCAAAAATTTCTTGGCGATGAGAGGGACTCTGCCCCCCTTCAAACCCCCCAAACAGAAGGGGGCACATCCCCCTTCTGACAACCCCCTGATGTATCTTTTAGTTGGGGGCGCTGCGCCGAAAAAGTGGTCACTTTTTTTAACAACATTTCTCAAACAAAAACAAGTGTTGGGGGCCTAAATAAGGCATTTTTTCACCATTAGAGACAACAAAAAAAGGGGGGGGGGTGAAAAAGGCGTTAAAAGGAGTGTATATCGCGTAATGGGTTTAGTAATAATGTTTATTTGTGCTGTACTGTTCACCACAGTGGTATTGTTAAAATTGCACCTAAGTCTGTATGACTTAATACAATCTAGTTTTTTATGTGCTTTCTTGGTAATGTTGCCTTAAGGGACTTGACCTTTATTGATGGGACTGGAAATAATGTTTTGAGATTTTTATATCATTTGATGCTAGTCTATACCAATTACTCATATGCATGATTTCAAATACAATGTAATTTGCTCACTCTACTTTGGAATAATGATTGATTATAATGTGCAAA